CGCTTTTCATGCCGAGCTATCAGTTGGTACGAAAATTCCGAGATGACTTTTGTCCACCTAAAAACTCATTTTGATCCACTGTGTGCCGTACCAAAGTGAGCGGGTGAACGTAGCAGACGACTCATTTCTTATGAGTTAGCATTCCGACTTTCCGACCGACTCGAAGGATCCTCGGCCAAGTGTTCCGGCACCGCCTGCTTCAAGCAGCGGAAAACCTCAGCGTACGCTCCGGTGGTAGAGCGGTTCATGAAGGCGGCAGCTGCCATCCCCACCTTGGAGAAAGAAAGCAGTCGACTGAAAATCGCGCGTCATCCTGCATATCCAAAGCAGTTCCGAGTCACGTCGTCTGCTATGATAGCGGGGGGGGCCGCCGATCCCGCTAGGCGGCCATCTTAGTCGAGGAGATGGCCGTACCCGCTTATAAAAGACCGAGCCGCAGCGCTCTCTAGTACGTATGCTGAGGATAGCGTATAATCGTACGTATGTTAAGTCTATGGGAAGTGCGTACAAGAAAAACGCAGTGTAGAATTCCACAAAAATGGAAACCCCGGATGGGGGAGGGTCGGAGGGTAGACCATGGGTCTGATGATCTTACCTGAATATTTGACAGTGATCGGGCAGTCCCTTCGACATGAAATTCGGTCTCTCGGGAACGGAGAACGGAAACTATTTTCCGTTCCCCGCGGAGCGGGAATTAATTTACGTTCGCCGCGCAGCGGGAACTGATGCCTCGTCCATCATCCATCATTGCTCATGCATATGGCTTCATCTATGCAATGAGGGACGTCATCGAGCGGATCGAGGAATCGACGTTCAATGAGAATCGAGAGATACCCGCGGAATCAGCCATGTTATCATTATTCGAATCGCCGGCAGTCGGATTCGAACCTGCAGACCTCCTAGGACCCATGTTAGATAAATCTGCGGCGCTGACCACCGAACCATCCTGCCCTGGAGTGGTGAACTATTCAGAAAAGAGCTACCGTGTGGGGAAGCTCTCAATGGTGCTTCGACACTTTCGGACACTGTGCCGTCGCCTACGAGAAGGAGATCCAAGCGGTTCCAATGAGCACTCGCTACAGGTCACCGAAACCTCGAGCGAGGACGGAGGTGCGAACGTTCTCGCTCAGATGATTCTTTTTCATATTACGATTCACAATTCACAACCCCGCGAAGTTCTACACTGACACTCATGAATCATGAAATCTCTTGCAGTTCTCGATCAATTTGACTTGACAAGATCGGGACCGCACCCGAATAGCCCAATCAAGTCTGGAAAATGCAAAATTTGCGGGAAGGTCGTGGGTCCTCAAAACACAGTCTTACTGGTGTAAGAAACCATGCCCGGAGGCATAGCACTGATCGCAAAGGACGAGAGCCAGAGCTAAAGGCGCGAATATTAGCCAGTCTACTTGCGGAAGGCATGCCCTTTTCTTGGGCCAATCTCGATAGTATTCGAACTCTCTTCGCGCGCTCAGGATTTGGCGAAGTCTCAAGGTCTTCAGCAACGAGGTCTTTCGAGAGAAGCGCCAAAGAGCTGAGGATGCTACTTATCCGAGACCTGGCGAACTTAAGAGTAGCTAATGGGAATAAAGTGAGATTTTCCCTGACGTGCGACGAAGCCTTTCTTCAAAGAAGACAATATCTCGGTGTGACCCTCCACTGTTCAGAATCGATTCCCTGTATACAATCAAAGAGTGTGGAACTTCTTTTGTTGAGTCTCCGGTATGGATGCTCTTCTGAACATTCGATGGCCGCTCTATTGGCCGGTTTGCGGCAGTTCAAGCTGAATTTGAGTGACCTCACGGGGATAACTACAGATGCCGCCAGAAGAATGGTCAAGCTTGGCGGACCTCTGCGAGACGCGGTCTCGCCGCAGCCCTTCTACGCACAGACCTGCTTCTCTCACGCATTACATCTCGTCGTCCTCGACTCCTTGAACATCAATCCGTTTTTGGTAATACACGGATTTATTTATTTAATCATCCGGGGGGATAAGGAGGGGCCAAGGCAGGCCGAGATCATTGAAGCGCTTGGAAAGTCTCCAGCGGAAACTATTGAATACAGTGTTATTGCGGGCTCTGGGGATGACGAATAACCGTCCAGAGCGAGTGTTTGTGGGGCGGGTAATGAAGAAGCCTCTCATAAATTGAAGACGTAGAACTGTATGAGCGAGTCTCAGGTCCTTATCGTCGAGGATATCGCTAATTGAGGGGAGGAAGCACCGATCAAGCTCAGTTCCACACTTAGCGGCTACTCTTCTGAGGAACTTCCGCTGAAGTCCATCCAGAGCTGCCACGGAGCCCTTGAGCCAGGGTCGCCAGACTTCGGAACCGTAGAGCAGGGAAGGCAGAACAAGTGCCCCAAAGGCGCGGAGGTAGACCTCCGGAATTTTACAATCGAAAGCTCTGAGCGCAAAATTTGCTGTTCTGCCCGCTCTTGCGATAGCCATATGGACATGCCTCTCGGGTTTTAGGTCAGAACTGAATACAACCCCGAGGTCCCTGACCTGGCGGTTCTCAGGAATAGCCTCATCGAGGAGCATGTACGTGAAAGGCGCATCGTGGAGGATATGGATGGCAGAAGATTTCGAGGAAGAGATCAGGAGCTTCCAACGAAGAGCCCAACGTCCGATGTTGGACAGGGATGATTGGAGCGCGTCACGCGCTCCCGGCTTAGAGATATCAGCGAAGATCTTTGTGTCGTCAGCGAAGGTACGGTACTCGACACCATTTACAATCTCGTATCGAAGATCGTTTGTGAACAGCAGGTATAGAAGAGGTCCAATGACACTACCCTGAGCTACACCTGACGAACAGTGGTAAGGGCGGGAGAAAGAGGAATCAATTCTAACAATGGCAGAGCGGTCATGGAGGAAACTCGCAAACCAATCACAGAGTCGACCGGAGAGGCCAAAAGAGGGAAGCTTCGAGATGAGCAATCTATGGTTAACAACGTCGAATGCTGCCCGAAAGTCGATATAAATAACATCAATCTTGGCCGAAGTATCATTGTACGAAGATATCCAGTAATTATGAGTATCGATTAGCTGAAGAACAGTAGACCTCTTAGACCGAAATCCGAATTGGTAAGGATCAAGGAGGGAGTGAAATTCACAGTGAGTGGTAATAAGGTTGGCGAGTATCCTCTCAAGGACCTTACTAGCAACAACATCTTCGGGTTATTATCGGAACATTATCGTCAGACGACGATGAAAGTTCCGGAACACCGATGGAGGATCTGCCCACCCTAGAAGCCAGCGGCACTGGACCCTATGGCTTGCTAATTGACCGTGTGAGAACCGCTTCTCTCTATTTTGCGAAAAGCTGTACTAAGCACGAATCAATGCTGGGAACGCGTCGCCTGTATGGGAAGAAGGAGCTAAAAATGCTTCTGAGCTGTCGTACGCGATGGAACAGCATCCTGAAAATGCTGCAAAGATTCTTGGAACTCAGACCACAAATGCGGATGGTGTATCTCCATCGGAAAGACCGATTTCCCCTCAAAAGCGCGGATGACGAGAAGATCAAAGATATGATCAAGTCACTAGCCCTGATCGAGAGGTCTGTCGAAATGATCTCTGCCGACGGAGCTACCTTACTCGACGCAGAGCATGTTCTTCAGGTATGCATCCTCATTCCTTGCCGGATGTACCCAGTTTTCTAGCGTGAGTCGCATGTCGGAAGTGGCTCTCTTCCATTCATTGACTGAAGCCGTCGAATGTACCAATCCTTCGTATCCATTTCAGAGCCTAGTAGAGACTCTGAGTGAGCGCGACGGTCCGTTCGCAAAGATAATCTGCCGTGCTGTCTGTAGAAGGATAATTCAACGACGAAACGATGTTTCAAAATTCCGCAGATATCTCGAAGATTTCCGCATTCTTTCCAAGTTCGACGACACTCTCGCTCGTTTTCTCAAGCTCCTGCGATTTTGCTGGAGAGACCCGCTGTGATAGCCGAGCTCGCTAAGTACCTGAAGGATGGTCCGGTACTCTCAGTCCGGTACCATGACTCTCTCCCCACGCAAATCGAAGAGGTTGATCGCTTGAAACACAGCTTCGAACTCTTGGTCAATGCGAGACGGGGTAGGATTGAACCGAATCCGAGGTGTGCAGGAAGCAAGTTCCACTTCGACGGAGGAGTCAGCCGAACGGACCCTAGATGACTTCCAACGAGAAAGAATCATATGGGCAAGTTCTGCGAATTCCCCATTAGCGCTCATGATTTCGGGTCTCAAGATCATCCTCCCAACAAGCGTACCCTGCGAGAGGGCGTTTAGCAGAGCTAGGAGAGTGAGGCATTATTATCGGGAGCGTTTTAGCGACGAAAGGTTCCAGCAACTGATGTTCGTGAAAAGCACGCTGGGTAAACAAGCAGCGCTAGTGAGAACCGCTGATTCGAAAGCTGGAGAGGGGCACTTGAACAGAATGGAGGAAGCCGAAGAAGAGCTCCGAGATACATGATGGCTGATGGGTTATGAAGTCAAGTTAATAAGCATGAGTGAATGAGCATTCAACGAGATCCCTCGTCCCAAATACAGAAATTCTTTCCGAAAAGGTGCTTTGATCTTTTGCCGTATGAATTTCCTGATTGGGGAAACTTATTGAGACAGAGCTGCTTCCCGGTACCGATGAATGAGCTCGCAGATTGTAGGCGATTCATATTCATGAGAACCCTCAATTCGTGGCCGTATAACCCCGTGACGGCCCGTGACGGTCCCTGACGGGTTCGTACAGAGCCAATACGGCCCGCTCCAGGCCGATACGGGCCGCTCCGGCCGTACGCCGTACAAAAGCGACACGCCGAGCGTACAAGCCGAATTGCATTCCATAAGTGGCCATAGGGGCTGGCCCCGCAGACTTCTTAGGAGGTGGCCGATAAGTGGCCTTCCCAAAATCAGTCAGCCCCCTATTGTTTCCTCCCCTAAGAGGTCCTAAACCGGTACATTTCCTCCTCTAGACTTTCGATTGTTTACGTGTTCTGCTGCGAAAGTTCGACTGCTCTCCGTGTGTTGTTGGTCGTCGTCGTCGGCTGCCGCTGCTGGTGTGGTGTTGCCTCTCGCTGCTACGGCTGCTGTCGCCTATCTGTCACCATTCCTTGACGTGTTTTAATTGCGTTTCGAACGTGAATTCACTCGTGCGATCTGAACGTATAGGTGTCTCGGCCCAGAGTGAGTTTTTCAGCTGCAACATCGGGGGGTAGAAGCAGAGTCGGCAGCAGTGAGTGGTAATGTCGTCGACGACGACAGCGGCGATCTCTGGTACGGCCCTCCATATAATCGGGATCGTAATAGCTTTGGGTGCCGCACCGGCATGGACATTCTACCTTCCTGGTCTGGCCCCAGTGAATTACTGTCCCGCGGATCTAGCCAACTCGCAGTGTCAGGTGAGCTGCATTTCCACAATCGCACTCGGCCCATCGATGGGGCTGATTCCGTACCAGCCGTGGACGAGCATTTCATTGACACTCGAATCAATCTCCGCCTCCTTTCAAGCTCTCCAAACCGTACAGGTCCGTAATCAGAGCTCTTGGACGGAGCGAGGATACAGTCTAATCACGTTTCTTAATCTTTTCAGTCTAAAATAGCTCTCTACGTGAATCGCCTGGACTCTGATGAATCGGTCCTGCCGTATGAGTACCATCAGTGAGTATTCAGAACTCGACGTTTGAATCAGTCATCCGCAGCCGGCTCTACGGTTCCGACGGGGGGACGTCGGGACGCCGAAAAATCAGCACAATGAGTCGGTGATGAATTATGGGCTTCTGTACGGATGTGTGATAGAATCTCCAACCAGATGAGTCGTCCCGTCGTTGGAGTTTCGAGAAGTCGTCGGGTAGCGGGCGCTAAGCGGTTCGCATGCGTCGCAGGCTACGTGGCGCGCTTCTGTTTGAGATGAATTGTGGCTCGTATGGAGTTTGCTGAAGTTCCGCTGAGGAGAATGCGGATTCCAGCCGAAGAAACACTCGTGGATTGAGAAACGTTCCGGCGCCCCGTATGCTTCTTATTCAAATCGATCTATAAGTTTGACGCCTATCGATGCGTTCGCACATCTCTGTCGAGAACAGAACACCAATTCAATGCCAGTAGAGCTCCAGCGAAAAAATCTAGAAATTGACATTACTCATTGTTTTGGGTCAGAGCGGTCGAGTTCTGCCCGGTGACTCGCCAAGATTCCCCCTCGAGAGGTGGTTCGGAGAACTTTGGACTCGCTCTTCGTTTTCTTGGATAGATTCCGGAATCTCACTCAGGGAAAATATTCAGGTGATGGGAACTTTGCTTTGCAGCTTCGATTTCTGCACGACGGGCGAGGAGTTGTCTCCGGCAGAAAATCTGGGACAGGTTGTTTTCGGCGAGCGGATCCGACCATCCCCTTACAAGGTGAATATAGAGGAAAAGCCTCTCGGGACACGGGTGGGTAGGCAAGCAAGCCGACGACCTTGCGATCGGCAGGTTCACGACGGATCCCCTTAATTATGGATCCATAAAACGTCGTTAAGGTGTTACGTAGGTTGTGACAGTGTGACACGGAGATTTTACGACTGGATTAGAATCCAGTCTCGTTCTTGAATTTTCATTCGAACTCCACAAGCAGAGATCATCGAATCCCCATCAAGTTGTTCCTCATCCACGGATTGCTTCCCCTCGAACTCTCCTTCTACGGACTCGAGTGGACTCGGCCCAGAATGCTGGCGCCCCCCATTGGAGCTTATCTCTCCGGAGACAAGGTCGCTCTACGCGTTTCCATCTCATGTATCCTTCGCTTGCATTGCAGATAAACTTCTTGGAGAACCGAACATGTGCGTTCCTTTGCACGAAGAAGTACGACAAATCGGATGCGTCGTCGCAACACCGGCTCGATCTCTTGCGGAAGGGGATGATGAAGATGTACAAACACCATTGGATTGTGGACAACATGCCTGTCACGTGGTGTTATCTGACCGACTCGACGTCATACTACTGTTCGATGGGATTCCCGATGGGCTGTTTCACTTACCAAAACCAAAAGCCTCGCGGACTGTGTAACATCTATCCTACATTCATCAAACAGAATACCTTCTACCTGCTGAATCACGTGCATCTGACGATAACGTGAGTGGCATCCAGTGGGGGAATGACCTCTATGGAAATTCCATATTTCCGTAGGAAGCGGTGATCGAGCTCTCCTGATCCTTCTCTTTCCAGGTACCATAAGTCCGAGCGAGAGACTTGGGGCTCGTCATTTACCCAACAAGGGGGACGGATAATCTCGGTCAAAGTCTCGCCCGAGTCGATCCGGCACAGGCCCTCCGATGACAAGACGTCTGTCCTCTGTGACTCGAAAGAGCCGATGACGCTACCGATGAATAACGACGAACTACCCGATACGTTCGAAATCTCCTACACGTACGATGTCACATTCCAAAAGACCGATCAACGTTGGGCTTCTCGTTGGGACTACATCCTCGAGTCGATGCCGCAGACCAATATCCAGTGGTTCTCGATCCTGAACTCGCTCGTTATCGTTTTGTTCCTGACCGGTATGGTGGCCATGATTCTTCTGAGGAACCTCCACAAAGACATCGCTCGCTACAATCAGCTGGATTCATGCGGGGAAGACGCACACGAAGAGTTCGGCTGGAAACTAGTCCACGGCGATGTGTTCCGTCCGCCCCAGAAAGGAATGCTACTCGCTGTGTTCGCTGGTTCAGGAATCCAGATCCTCATCATGACTTTGATAACACTCTTCTTCGCTTGTCTCGGTTTCCTCTCTCCGGCGAACCGGGGAGCCCTCATGACCTGTGCCATGGTTCTCTACGTCTGTCTCGGAACTCCGGCGGGTTACGTCTCGGCAAGGATCTACAAATCCTTCGGAGGAATCAAGTGGAAGTCCAACGTGTTGCTCACGTCTTTGCTATGTCCCGGTATCGTCTTCTGCATCTTCTTCTGCCTGAATCTGGTCCTGTGGGCGAAGGAATCATCGGCCGCCGTTCCTTTCACGACTCTAATCGCTCTTCTTGCCCTATGGTTTGGGATTTCGCTGCCATTGACATTCGTCGGCGCGTACTTCGGTTTCAAGAAACGAACGCTCGAAAATCCAGTCCGAACAAATCAGATCCCCCGTCAAATTCCTACTCAGACCCTATATACGCAGGCTGTTCCCGGAATTCTCATGGGAGGGATCCTGCCGTTCGGTTGTATCTTCATCCAACTTTTCTTCATCTTGAACTCGATCTGGTCCTCTCAAACCTACTACATGTTCGGCTTCCTCTTTCTGGTGTTCGTCATTCTTGTCATAACGTGCTCTGAGACGACGATCCTCCTCTGCTATTTCCATCTTTGCGCAGAAGACTATCACTGGTGGTGGCGAGCCTACCTGACATCGGGCTCGACGGCGTTGTACTTGTTCGTTTACTGCATTCATTACTTCACCCGGATCTCGATCTCGGGTGCGGCGTCGACTTTCCTTTACTTTGGTTATACGTCGATTATGGTTTTCCTGTTTTTCCTGCTGACCGGCACCGTAGGTTTCTTCGCATGTTTCTGGTTCGTGAGAAAAATCTATTCGGTTGTCAAAGTTGACTAGAGCGATCCGTTCGTAGAGTGTTCAGAGATTATCAGACGCTTATCAGCTGGACGAGGTGGGGAACAGAAAGCGGACAAGGAGATGAACGATGACGTGGGAGAAGGTTCGGGAGTCGGTCGTGATCAATAAGTAGCTCATAATCCGAGTCGAGGTATATTAGAAAAGGATGCGCGCGCATCCGCGCACGCATGAGACACACGAAGTTGGAATCATTCCTCCGGCTCATGCAGGAGCGAAAAATCGAGGAGCGTGTCTCCAGCATGATTTCATTTCAATTATGCGGAGGAGCTGGGGACGTGCCTTCAGTGATGACGGAAAGCAAGGTCTGAGATGCAGTTGCTTCCGAACATCGTCGCCGAAGGGCACTCTCCTTTCCATCGAAAACACTACAAGCAAAGCAAATCATAGCTGGAGCAAAATGTGTTGGTTTTTGTGAATAGCGATGAGACGCGGTGAGAATTCCCCATCCTCTTTTTAATGGGGATCGAGAATCATGTGAGTTAGTTCAATATTGCGACTTCTACTACCCACTTCTCCTACGCTGTAAAGGATCAGTCCCGGATGACGATCTGTCTACACTGTTATTTGAGTTTGAGTCGGGGTCAGCCCGTGCTGGAGTAACCTCACGGCTTGACATACTACTTCCACCCTTAGTCGACCCAAGAGAAAAGATCGCTGGAAGGTGGAGATGCTATTTAATGAAATCGTCGTGTACATAAAAGAGACAATAAATGCGAATCCGTGATTGGAGATGAGTCCCACTGGAGCCGTTTTTACCACCAGACGAAAACCTGCGACCTTTCGCAATGGTCGAGTTGAGCGGGCTCCCCGGAATGGACCGCGATCCTCGAGCGGACGGCTCTCGGGTGACAAGATGGGGGAACTCCGCCAAAAAAAAACATGTCGTGGCTGAGGATGATCAGAGCTTAATCATTAATCTTCGATTGATTGATCGATTGATTGATTGATTCTTATTTATTTACATGATGATTTCAAAACAAATGGATAGCGTGAACGCCGATGAACCATGTATGTTGGATTAAAAAACTAGGGCTCCGGGATGGCACCCCTGAATGTACAGCTTGCTGAGAACGGAACTATCCCCTTATTTCAAGGAATGTGTCGTGGAAGATGGAGTTCTGACGGACGAACGGTCGATGCTCAGACTGGAGCGTGAGGCGCAGATTCAGACGGTCTGAGGCTCGCACCGTTAACTATTGGGTTCATAGGTACGGCTTCCATCCATGGAATATCTGTGCTAGTCGCAAGGGATCCATGGCTTGTTGAATGGTTATGCTGGCTTGACCCTGAACGCTGAGCAGATGTCCTTCCTCTATACCCTTCAGCTTGTCCTGCAGTCGCTGTAGGACCCGATCTCGGAATTGTTCTGCGGGGAAAAGAGCCGATCATCTCATGTTTTTCAGAAGCTCGACCATAAATCGACTCTCCCCGGAGGAGATGTTCGACTCACCGTTGGACAGGGTTTGCTCTGCCTTCAACGGATTGTCCTTTCCTCCCTTTGCCTTCCCCGAGAACAAGGCGAGAGGATCGTGCAGCAGAATCACTTCGACTATTGTGAGCATGAGTTGCGCGTTCAGTCGCAGAATCTCAAGGGTGCGTTCGCAAGTCCGTCTGAATTGACCTTCTATGCCGAAGATTCCGCAGCCATCAACCAAATCGCGAGTTAATCGGAACGGAACCAGTTCCGGTGTGTAGAGCAGTTTTCCCTGCTCGAAGATGATGCCCAGATCGATGTGAACCACCTCACTAGTTGAGTGGTCGATCAAGATGTTGTTCGTGTGACGATCACCTAAACCGATTATGAAGCCAACCATCGACGTGATGGCGAGACTATTCACATACGCTCGTTGGCGCTCGAGCCATGCGGAAGGGTCCCGGAATTTCTCGATGAAAAAGTATCTGAAGGCAGGCGGGAATTGTTTACAGAGTTGGAGGTATTTGGTCCGCTTGGCTTCGGCAGTCGACAGTTTCCCGATCGACATCATAATCTCGTGAGCCTGTTTCAGCTTGAGGGAACGCTGCTGTTTCTTGGAGGGATTTTTCCTTCGTTCTCTGCAGTCGCTCAAGGCGCTCGCAAGTGGAACCGTGTTCTTCACCCACTCGATTACTCCCACGAAACGAGACAATGGGATTACTTTATAAGTTCTCATCCGCACTCGGAATCGATTGTCATCGGAGCGCAACTTCGAGACCTTCAATAACGAGAGAAGAATTAGACCAATGACACCCTTGGAGCCTACCGAAAAGAAACCCACGACAGCTATGACTCCGGGAACCGAACGACTGTGCACCTCTTTGAAAAGTTGCTGCATGACGGCGTCCTGTCTCAGATCGTCTTTGCCCTTGAGCAGCTGGGAGAAAGATCCGCCTTTGCTTCCTCGCACCTGAAGTTTTTTCGGTCGGGAAAGGCCAGCACAGATTTCGTACTGTCTGATGAAGTCCTTGATCTGGAAAATATTTCCCCGGATTTAATCCCAACCCATCTGGCCGATCCCCAGCTTGACCCCTTTCTCCGTCAACCGGATCCCTCGTTCGACTCACGGTTTCTACGCCATCGTAATTCCCATCGGGCCTGACGGCTAAATCTTCGGTCAGGATCGGTAGATCCTGGAAATACTTCGTTTTGGAAATCAGCGACGTCTGAGACTGTATCGTTCCCCTGCCTTGAGCGACTGATGAATCCGCGGATAATTCAGCATACGCTGCCGCGAGGACTCCCAAACAAGTGATGTATGACTTCATTTTCGGCAGCGTACTCAAATGATCTGGAAAATAGTGACCGTTTTCGGTAACTTTCAAACGAACGTCCCGAGCGGACTGAGAGCTGTATGGTTCTGAATAGAGTCTGTTACTGTTAGTGAGCATGCGCGTGATCATGAGCTTGTGTTGTCCATACAGTCAATCATTAATTACTGACCAAGAATTTTTCTCGCTGCTTTCCCGCGTTCCTCTAGGTCTTCAACTCTGGTCTTCAGTTCGACCTTGTTGCCAACCGGACGGCCCAAGCGAGGGTTGGCCAATAGCAGTAGAGTGGGGACACAATGGAACGGATGTGTACGACAAAGTCGAATCACCAGTTGTTGGAGCTGTCTTTGGAACTCGTCATCGGGCCTTTTGCTTGACCTTTGCGCTGGAAATCACGGGCACTCCCGGATAAGCACGCTGCATACGGCTAAGAATTCCACCCCGAGCTCTTCTGTTCCAAAATCGATTGTCCGCGACACCGAGTGAAAACATACCCATACAGGCGGCGAGTTGGTAGAACATGTCTGTGAAGCCGTGGACGGGGAGAGTGCCTTTTTCGGAGGCTAGTTCGTTCATGGTTTTTTGAAGGATTTTTGAAATGTCGGGATCGTCTTTGTGTGAGTACCACAGCGAGAAGACACGGTATTTCGTATTCTGATCGTCCGCCAGACGAAGGATTTGGATGTAGTTCTGAAGAGCGCTTAACGTAAAACTGGCCAAGTTGTCCTTCTTGTCCTGTATCTGTCCCTTGAGATGATCGATGTCGCGCAGCATCATCTGAAATCGGCGGATCCTCTCATTTCAGACGAATGCGAAAACCTGAGCCTAGCGATAACTGAAACCCGAGCCCAATGGATAGACGAATTCTAGTCCCACGCTCACTTTTGTATTCCGCATGTCCTGGTCCTCCAGCTGGGCCGCACCCTCTCTGATGTTGTTTTCTTTGGCCAGATATTGCGTGTCTTCGTTGAAAGCCGCAGAATTGAAATACGCCGCAAGCCCTTGGGAGCACTCGTCCGCGAAACTCGCGAGCTCTCGGTAGGCCTTGATGCGCTCCTCGCGCAAATCGTCTCCATGAGTTTGCAGGATCTCAACAGCCTGGAAGGGTTCCCGGATGAACAACCGTCGTCAAGGAGCAAAAGGCGAAAGACCGAAAACCGCCGGAGCGTCCGCCCACCGTTCGGCTGACGGCTCTGTCAGACGTTTATTATCACAGCGATGACGACTCGTTCTGATTCGGCGCGGACAAAAACGATTGTACCAAAAAAACTGAGTCAGCGCCCTTGAAAAGCGCGTTACCGTAAAATTCTTCTATTGAGTCAATAGGTCGCTGTTATTCGACGATGATCACCGATCGTCGTCGTTGTCCCCGTTTTTCATTGTCAGCCTAGATGACTTGCCAACCGAGTTGACGGACTCCGTAGTATCCGGAGAGTCATTCACACCGACGCAGTGTACGATGAAGTACGTGCCGTGGAGTGCACACATCCTGGGGATTCTTCCCCTCAGTGCCGGCTCGGTATTCATATCGGTGTCCGCTTTCCGCTATGCCAGCGATCTCCATTCGTCTGATCATCTGAGCACGCTGCTCCTACTCGCGGCTGGAATTTCGCTGCAGGCTTTCAGTCTAATCGGATTCATGGTGGTTGGCTCTGCTCGGAAGACTCTGATCAGTGTATATAGTGCTCTCGTCGTTCTGATACTCCTCTTATCGGCTGGCCTTGGATGCGGGCTGTTGGTTCGCGACAGCCTTTCGGAAGGCTACAGAAATTATTTCACCGAGCTCGTTTCGCGCACCAAAGATGGAGACCGGGCTTCTCTCAACGAAATGATCCGCTTTCAAACGAGACAGCACTGCTGCGGCATGTGGAACTCGAGCGACTGGAGCAAGCCCGATTACAAGTACGAAGCCTTACGCAGCTGCGCGAACATCGCAAAGGAACTCAAGGAGCAGCTTCATAAAGTCCCTGGCTGCTACGTGCAGGTTTTCGTTCGTCAGAAACGTTTTGCCTTCACAGTCGTTGTTTTCGGTGTTGTCGGTGCCCTCATCCAGGCCATCATGACAAAACATACGAAATCCCGTGTATCATCGTGAAGGGATAGAGATCCCCAGATCTCCGATTGCAAGTTAGGCGCAGGGGCTGCCCTCATCTCGAGGTTGGAATCCATCAATCGTTCAAGTCACTTCTTGCACTCACCGGTTTGAAGTAAGTGTCGGCTATTTGGAGAGGCGTTGCTTTCTTGGTTTCCGAGAGTATCCTTCCGCGGAGGAGGAGCGCTCGAGCGTGCAGCGTCTTGGACTCTCTCGATTCTTCGAAAAAATTCACGAGTCTTCCACTTAGCTGTTCTGTCATGACGTTCCCTACGTCCTGAAAAGTCACCAGAGAGTCGTCAGCTCCACAGTTCCCATGACCCCCGTATGGATGGGCGCCGTATGGTTTGAGAGGGAAATACTCGAATCTCCCGGAAACAGGGGGAACGAACCATTTGTGCTTGAACCGCTGCTTCCAGATAGGCGTAGTGTTCCTTCGCATTCCTTAGAGACGATAATTGGAGGAGAGCAGCTCTGGCCAAATTGAAGCTGGACATCTGGACCGCTTGAATTCCGTAATTGAGCATGAAGTCCGCTACATTTACTTGGGGTATTGTCCTTCAACAAAGAGTTTCCCGTCAGAAAAAACTTCGGTATCCACCGTTCATATTCACACTCTATCAATAATAAACTCATGATGTTCGACAATCATTATACCCGATTAATTCCTTCTACGGACACACAGAGAAGGTCCCTGAACGATACATACTTGAAGATGAGGGTCATGATCCAATGGTATTCCTCGATGATCTCTAGCGGCCTCCCACAGCGAAGTCGACCAGTAGACCTCTCCACGAATTTCCGCCATTCGCTAGACGTCGAGGGCACCTTCGAAGAAGTCTTCAAAATTCGGAATTCTTCCACCAGTCTCAGTTGATCCACTTGCGTGAGGAATGTCGAGGCCGCGAAGGATACGGTCAGATTACTGACTGAAGCCATCGAGAGAAGACTCTTCGTCATCGCGACCGTGGCATCTTTGGCTAGCATCGAGTCGAAGCTCGTCACGCTGTCTAGGGCCACCATCGTGAGCTTCCGAAAGTTCGTGGATTTTCCCGACCTGGAATTTTTATCCTCGATGAGGAGCCTGAAGTCACCCTTAGCTCGGATTCGGTTCGATGGAGACCGATGCTCCAGAGGATTGAGCGGCAAGCGAAGCGAACGTACATTTGGTCCCATTGACCGAGACGGAACGCGCAGTCCAACGAGTACTTTTCGAGCTCCTCTGCTGTCATCGAAGGAGATTGTTGGCTTTGGACGATGTTCTTCAAGGCATCGAACTCGCCTCGTTGAAACAGTAACTCCAAATGATTGAAAGGCTCCCCGAGTGCTCGACGGACGATATCATCGTTGGCTCGAATAGAGAAACAACCCAGGAGACTGTCACGAACCCCGAGCTCGCGACAGGATGTGACCAAGATCTCCTGTGAAAGCGAATTGAACAATGTCCATCGCTAGAAGCGATCGATGCAGCTCCGTCGGATCTCTCAGAAATTCTCGATCATTACCTGAACCAGCTGTAGATTTGCCGGACCGTTGTACTCTTGGAAAGAAATCGGATCGGACCATCCCTCTTCGACGTTCAAACGATCCCACCACAGACTTATGAGCAAGAGAGCTGCATCCGGAAGGTTACACAAAGACGCAGCTCTAGCGACAACTAGAAGGTCCAGGTTGTCGATATCCTCCTCATGGAAGTGCAGGAGACATACGTATTTCACAAGCTTGGTCAAGTCCCTCCTCTCGTCGCTGTTGACTTCCGAAGTCTTACTGATCAGGGAGAAAGCACCTTCGAGTACTTCTCGAATTTTCAGGTTCGCGTTCTTCTTGCTGCTCAAGCAGTACAGGAAGAGCGGGAAAATATCTCTGCGGGCAAGAGAGACGAAATCAGTGGTCGGGATGGGTTCTGGAGAGATGAAGCCCGCAGGTATCCGAGCCGATTTCCGGAAGAACTCACCCGCAGAAACCTTCGTCGAGACTGCAGATGGGCAGAATAGCTTTCAGGTATGGGTCCATGGAGAGCTTCCCGAGAAGAATAGTGACTCGTTGGATCCATTTGGGCTTCCCGACGTGTCTACCGATCACCGTCAGGTCCGGCATCGATTCTTGTGACTCATTACAAAGTTGCGGGAGCTTCTTCTGCGAGCGAGACACGAAAGCCAGGAGATGGTCGTGGAATAAGCTTCGCTCAGAGTCCATTGAAGAAGCGATCTCACAGCCCAGATCTGTGTGGAAAATATTCTGAAGGCACTCCACGACCACGTTCGGGAATTTCGACCCCGCAAACAGTGAAGTCAGCAAACGCTCCATGATTCCCTGCTCGGCGAATGAGACGACGATGCCTCGACAGGATTCATTCAGATAAATTAGATTCCTGTCACTGAATTCATCGAGGAACGGCCTCAATGTCCACGAACGAAATGGTGTGCTTCCGAGCGTTTCCAAGCACGGGAAGACCTCAGCCGTCTCCTGAAACTACCCAACCGTGTGAGTCTCTGGATCGTGAGGTCGCCCGGGAACGGGAGAGAGAGTTCCTAGGTTTCGCTCCTGATTCCCTGGTCAATCATGCACCTCATTGGTAGGAGCTCTGATCCTGCTCAGAAGGGTCGATAGAATCACATAACCGGGGTGATTATCGATCGATATATCCTCAGCGTGCATCTTCAGTCCTTCGTCCTCAGGGAATGTCGTCAGCACCTCTTTAATGTAGGGGTGGGCGAGTATTCGTCTTAAGAGCCGAACCGGATGCGCGGATCGGTCCCACATGAGATAGAAATGAACGCTCTGCAGCTGCAAGGAGAAGTGGAGTGGACTTGAGCTCTCAGGTGCTCATCCGCATGCCTTCCCTTGGAAAATCCCTCAGGTGCTCGAACTGTCAGAGGATAGCGGATTCCACTCACGAGCGTTAATATTTGATCCGAGCTTAGAGATTCGTCCACCTCGTTGGATCTTGGAGCAACAATTGCTCCGAGCGCGCCGAATTTCTGAGAGAATTCTCGCGCCAGACCCTCAGCTTCGACTCGGCTCATGATCGCCAATATTGGGGCAACGAGGAAAGTGAGATCGATATCCATTTTCAGGAAGCGTTCCAGGATTGGCACACACGTTGTAGAGATGTATTGGTTCTCGGGGTTGTCTAGCAAGAGAGTCGCGGTTGTTTGGAGGAGCATTGTCAGAGCAGTGGTGCAATAGGTGACGCTGAGATCAGATTCGGCCAGCGGCCCAACGAGGTTATCAGCCAGTAATCTGATTATGCCGACGACCTTCTCCCTGGAAGTTGGAGGAGTATCAGAGATGGTCGTAAACTAGGCAGAACTAGGTTATTGTGTGAATATAGGCGTTCCAATGAGACCGACAGGTGAAGCAACTCACGGATCATCTTCCTCTGCTAGGCGCGCGAAAACGCTCGCGACGATTTTCGTCGGTAGAGATTTGCAGATTTTGTTGTCGTTGAATAATTCCCAGGGTTGGCAGACTTTCCCTTTGTGCGTGATATCCGTGAGTGACTTCAGAGCTTTCAAAATCGCTTCCTCAGGAAAAGCAAGCGCGTCTTCATCGATACTCCTGAGCCATCAGAAAAAATTAGCGAATCCTCAGATTCATCCGACTCCCCAATTATTCTCTAAAGCGTTCCCGTCTTCCTGGGAATTTCGTTCGGAAACGAAGGGGATCGAGGATGTAAAAAACTCACCGACTTTGGCAATAGAGCAGGATCTCAGTATATATGGGGACCAAGTATTCGTTCAGCAGCTTCGGAACATCCAAGCCTTTCGTGACGTCCACAAAGAACTCGAGATACTTCCCCTGCAGCAGAAAACAGCTAACGGCGATCGGAGTGAAGTATTCGGACAGTTTTCCCCCGAAGTACTCTCTGATATGATGAGTCACATCCTGGTTTCCCAGCACAAGTAGACTTGGCGTGACGATGTGACCGAATAAACTGAAAGGTATGTAGCTGATGATGAAATACACCTTTTCCAACGAAGGTACAGAAAATCGAATGATACTTCAGGTCCCCTTTTCTGTGATTTAGTTACCTCATGAAGTGCTCGAAACCCCCGAACAACTCGAAAGGCATACTTTGTGCATCGTTCAGGTCAATCTTGAGCAGGAATCTCCTGTACCACAACTCGAGCGTCTCTCGTAGGTGATTCTTGAAGAAGTCAGTGATCTCTCCGAGAGATTTGAGCAAATCCAGAAGTTGATTCGAGTTGAAACAACCTGCCTTCCAGAGTCGAAGGCTGTTCGCTAGAGTGAGACCCTTCAATGTCGGTTTCCCCTCCAGAATTCCTTTCACCGTCTCCGCGAAAATTCTCAAACCAGCTTCTTCTTTCTCGAGGAAGCATCCTCCCGAATCCGCGTTGGAAGTCCCGACTCTGGTGGCGGCGCTCCTCTGGAAAACGATTCAACTCAGGCTCCCAGAGTCGGATTTTTTTCCCATGAAGATCATGTCCCGAGGGGACTTACTTTTCTGATCTCCGACAGGAGAACACCACAGGAGTCGAACAAGAGGTCGAGCAGTCTACGCTTCTGGACCAAGGTGTACTTATCGCCTCCGAGTATTAGAGCGACTTCTTTGAAGGCTTCTTTGCGAACTTTGAATTCCTGACTACCCGTATACTCGATCAGCAGTTCTACGCAGCCAGTCTTCTTGTTCTTCCCAGTCGGTTCATGGTACAACCACGCTTTTTCAGGATCGAGGTCCGCGGTCGCGGCGAGAATTCGGACAACGGCTCTACCGAGCGCGACATTGCTGCCCTGGAAGTCCCTGGAGCCGCACACTAAGCGACGTAGGAGTCTCCTCGCAATTGCGGTTTCTTCCGTCCGTTGTTGTGGAGGAATTTTCGCGGCGCAACGCATGAAGTCTTCGATGGGCTTCAATATCATTTCTACGAGACTGGGCTTATTGTAAACTAACTCCAGCTGGGTGCTTTGGAATGAACGAGCAGAATAATTCGATTAGTGACACCGATATTGAACACGAGGGAGAGATGCCGTGGCATCGAGGAATAAAGGCTTCTCCCACGGCAGAAGGATTCAAACTTACAGTAACATCTGACCGATCAGCGCCAGCATCGAGTCCTCACCGCTGTCACAGATACTCTGATCTTGCAGCAGGGGGTTGACAAGCTGAGCTATAATGGCGGTCAGAAGAGCGGTCTTCAGGGTTTCCTCCTTGAAACTCCTGAGGGTTTTGAGGAATCGGAGCATTCGATCCCCTGCTTCATCTCGGAGATTCTCATCCAAAGACTCGTTTGTCAGCAGAAAGTGCAGCGAGAAAAACGAGCATAATTTCGATGCGCGTTCTAGGCGGTGATCCTGCTGCAGTTCATCGACATCTGCCGAGAATAGAAGCTTATCGAATTGGGACCAGAAGACGCCGTTCAGATCCACAGATCTTCCGAGCGGTCCGCCGTACAACTCACCTGCGTTGGCACCCTCATCCCCGTCGAGGGTAACATCCAGCACGCCTTCTCTCAGGAACTCGGACTTCAGCTCAGTGGAGACGAGCTCCATGAGAGGATCGAAATTAAATCTGAGAAGCCGCTTCGTCGGTTGACCATGGCAATCCCTAAGAATCTCTAAGGCACAAGAGAGCTCTTCGTCAGGAACTTTACTACCGGAGCGCGTAGCCGCTAGGAAATGCTCGTGAGTCCCGACCATGAAGGGCTCCAGCATCACAGGAGGATTCCTCACGTGGAGGAGTTTCAGAATATACAGCATTGAAACATATACATATTGACGTTCCGTTGAGTTTATGTTGTTGAGTCTCTGACAAACGAGATCAACGACACTCGGTAAACACTCGACGTTTAGTTGCCGTCCCTCGAAAGCACAGGACGTCCGCTTGAGACTCAATGCGACGATGACGTTGGCTTTGAGCGACAAGTGATCGGTTTGGATATCGAAAACCCACTCGAGGAATCGATTGCGTTCTGAGGTTATCAGGTCGTTCGCGCAGAGCTCTTTGAGAACCAACAAGCCTCCAGAGTTCTTCTCATGGTGGAGCTTGAAGAGATTCGTCGTCAGGGAGCCCATTTTTGTATCGTTCGTCACGAAACGTCCTATTATCGGATAGACACGTTCTACACACTGATTAGAGTCGAGTGATCGCACAAGAATATCCACAACGTGCCGAGGAACTTCGGCGATACGATTGAAGAACAGAAGGGAATCCATGACCATGAGCAGATGCGGTCGGACCTCTGGCGCCCTTTGGAATACATCGGAGCAGACTTCTTCGAGGAGCTTCCAGCAGGTCGAGGACGTGACCGTTGCTGGACACTCGTCCAGGTACTTCTTCACGACGCTCAACCTGAGACATTGGGAAGGTTACGAGCTGCTCCGAGCACGGTCCATAATGAGAAACTTTTCGTGAAACGAAGAATTCAAGGGAGATGGTCGTGACCGGCCCTCTCATTCGGGAACTAACCAGAAAACAGCGGCATCCGAGTCTTTGGAAGCCTGGTAGCTCTCGAACGCCGGAAGGATCCCCATCTCATGAGCGGAGAGTCTAATCCTCTTCGGGGCTGACGTCGAAGAGCTCGTGGATTCACCCGACGAGAGCAGAGAATCCGATGGTCGATCCACGAGGCACCTTTTTTTCGGGGGAGTCATTTCCTTATTACTCCTACTTCAGTGAATATTTCATCAAATAGGGACGGGCTCCTACTGGTTGATCTCGACAGCGGCGATTCGCTCAAACGGACCTGTCCTCGGAGGTCATCAGGTGTTTCGCGCAACTGGTCCACGCCGAAGCCATGCCATGGAAGAGCGATGACGTCTGCTTCAGCCGGGCACCTCGGAGTGCTTTCTCCGTGATGTCTACTATCCACTCTAGGATGAAGCAGGCCGTTGACTTATCTTCAACCAAATGGATTTGACCAGCTATGAGGAATAGCATGATTTCCTGCCAAAAACAAGCACCGCCCACTTCAAGCATCGGTTTCGGACGCTACAGACAATTTCGCCTCAATGATTGTCCAATCATTCCCGTCTCTCCCTTACCAATTGATTGTCTTTATTATCATGGCAGGCTCGGGCTGTGGGAAGCAGGAACGTATTCGCCAGCTTCGCAAACGTTTTCGGATACTCTTCTCCGTAGTTTTCGAAGAGTAGCCGCCAGATGCCGAGAACATGGACCATGAGTACCGTTGATGCCAACTCTCGCCTGCAATGCGCACTCACACGTAAGTCGTCGGTTCAGAGCTCTCGGAAGCCTCCGATGGGACGTGAACAAGAAGTTTTTGGAGGATTAGGAACCTACGCAGCCATGAGCTTGGCGATGATGCTCTCCAGGAACCTCGAGCATTTCGATATGTCGATTTCAGCGAAATTGATCGCAGCTTTGATGACGGCATGCAGCATCTCAGCAACCTCTCCAGGATTGAAAACTGCAATTTGGCTGGAAGGGAGGATAGGAGATCGAGTTTTGAACGACAGGCTACATCGAGAATGAAGAGATGATCTTCTAGTCGGACAATGCTCACTTTATGAATGCAGTGTGGAGTTTGATAAGACCGTTGTACATCTCGGAAGAGATATTCGCACGATGATGCGGAGCGCGTAGTAGCTGTTTGAGGATTCTCAGAAGCTGTCGGCCCACAAGGGGTCGATTTTCTTTATCGTGGAGGATTGGGGTGATCAATCGGATTACTTCCTCAGCTCGGATTCGACCAGCCTCTGTGGACGGAATCCTTGTTTATAGACAAAGAGAAGTGTCATGTCGACACCGATACGAACGTCAGCCTGGAGCTTATCGGGGGCAGGGAAAGACGGATAGGTCTTGAGATACGTGAAGTATGCAAAGATCGACTTACTTCGTATGCTGAGAGCGACGAGCAGGTCGAGAAGATTGATCGCCGCCTCGCGTTCCTCCCGAGTAGCGGCGGTGTCTTTGGCACTGGTCTTCCTCTGCAGAATCTGCCGGATGAGAACATCGACGAAATCGATGACTTCATCCCAGCCCAGATTGCTGCCCGTATTCTCGGCTGAATCTAGGACACTCTGCAGCACCGGACGTTTCAGGTAAATCGTACACTTCTCTAGAGCTTCCTGGAACAACATCATAAATAGGTACAACGCTCAAGTCGGGGAACAGGAATTACTCTCTCACAAAAGCTAAGCAGAATTGCGGAGCCCTCATCACTCGCCTTCCGCCCCTTGAGCGTCCGTAGATCCCTCGCGTCGGTCAGACACTGGCGGAGCTCTCGAGCTGACTGCATGGCTCGTATCTCCGTGAGCCTTCGCTTTTGAGTACTTCAGATCTCCGGTTCTGAAAGTCATCTATGAGTTACCTCAAAGCATCATCACGGATCCATGAACACGAAAACTTCACCACCGAACGAGCTAAACAGGATAACGTAGTCCTCCTCGTGAATCTAGTCCAGGCTTTGGGAGCCATTGAATCTCCCTTCTGACTCGGTACGTATGCTAATGGTCCCTTGATCCAAGGAAAATCATCCCCGACTTCCTAACTCCTTGAAAGTCGATGCAGGCCGGATGTACCCAACAGCTGCGCTTCTCTTCCAGCTACTGCTCGATCATGGGAAGTTTGTACAGAGAGATTCGATGTCCACGAATAATCGCTTGCGGACGGCAGAAGCCGGATGCCCAAATTCCAATTCTGGGCAGGGAGCGGGGATAACAGAATGCTGACGCATGACAGTGGCTCGCTCCTCTTCACCGAATCTCCCAAATATGATTCGAGACTTCGTCAGGCACTCCATTTTGATCCTCAAGGCTATATCCTATGAAGAGCTAACCGTGAAGTCGATCATCCGATGCAGGGAGAATCGAGCACATGATGAAGCGCTCGCGTGCGGTTGTTCTATCCCGGAGCGTTTTCGAATGTTCCTCCACGGACATCAGCTGGGAGCTCGGCGCGCAGAATTCGAACTTTGGCGGGCAATCAATGGAGAGGGATGGAGCCATGGTCGAAACGACGAAACAGATCCCGCGGAGCCGCATCTTACCGCGGCTACGCTTGCCAGGGGGTCCTTTCTCTCGCGACGGTGCTGGAAGAAGGATGTCGAGAAAATTGCTCGCGAGCTGCCTTTTTCTACAAAGACGCCTTTTCCGTGAGCGCAAATCATTCCACCATTCAGGGTCCCCTTATAAAACTACCGCCGAGGTTCCAGGCGCTGGGGAAACGCATCGTTGCGCCGCCTGAGAGCTTCCGGACGGTATCGTGCATCTCCCAGCTCCCAGCCATGGATAATAATTGGAGAGCGACTTCAGCCGTGGGGGAGCCTGAGAGTCCTCGCGATATCCTTATATCTTCGAGGATATCGGGATAGCCTCGGAACGTCCTTACGAACATACTGCCGGCTGCCCGAACTTCCTCTCCTCGGATTCCACGATCCTAGCCGGTGCTCTAGCGCAAGCGGACGCAGACCTCATTCCTTCGAATATTGCGATGAAAGATCGACTCAATAAAATGGAGCGAAGATACAAGCCGCTTGTACAGGATGCGCAGCATCAGCCTACTGAAGACAGCGGGGATGACACTGGAGATATCGAGAGAGACCACAGGTAGCGTCCACCCTGTGGATTATAGGTCAAGAAACACCACACTGATGGCGTGGAGCTGGATGGTTAGAACGTCGAGGCAGCCAAGTACCGCGCATATTTCCTAGCCGAAATCTCTCCTTGGCATCTGATCGGGACCCTGCGCATGATTATGGCGACTGAGTACTTGAGGCATTCATGATGAAGTCACTGCTGACCACAGTCTATCACACGTAGGGTCGGCGACTCTGGGAGCATGACTCGGAGCTCTCCTGGTCAGGACTTCCACAAGAGAAGCACCCACAGCGTTTCTTCCGCCCGCTCCTCCCACCCGGCAATCGAGATTCACTTTGCAGGGCTGGGATCGATGAGAAACTTGAACAGGAATCCGGATTTCGCGCTACTCGAGGACTACGAGAATGGCGACCGCTGTATAACCCTCCCTGTAGCGGGATTATCTCTGAGCTCGGTCTTGACGGCAGCCCTGTGACCGCCACCGACTATGTATATGAAGTCCATATCCATTCTGGAGCGGCGAGACGAACGCGGCGCCGGCGTAATGAGGCGAAATTGAAGGTCGAATCTAATCAAACCTCGGGAAGAGCAAGCGGTCAGTACTGCACCTTCCGACCGACGTGGCTGCTGGAGTTCGATATCTCTTCAAGAGTCTTCCAATCACCTAGTACCTAGTCCCATCTGGGGCACACGAACAATCTTTCTATCAGTCGATCGATCAGCGAGATTGACAACTTTCGAATTTTCCCGCTCTGTTTGCTGATCCTAACCGAGCCGTCTACCTCCTCAGGCATGGGAGGCTCCGTGAACCTCTGGGAATTATGCACTAGCCCATTGATCATGGCGGTAATTCTCAATTATATGAGACTCTCATTCCAAACATTAGGGAAGCTCCAAAAGAGTTCGCGATGCTGCGAGCAGCTTCACCTCGTGCGTATAGGTTCAGGAGCTTGTGCCCTATGCGATATTATCGCAGATGAGCCCCAGAGAGGACAGAGAGTCAGACCCTAGCGCAGACCTGTGAAGAATCAGTTTTTTTAAGAATGACCCGCAGCTTTATTGGAACATGGAAGCAATTCCCCCCTCGGAAAACCCTCCCTAGTCCCGCAGGGAAACCAAGAGATTATCTGACGTGACAACGGGAAGTCCTCGCGTTCACTATAAGGAATGGTGTCTCCTCGCGTAGGCCCCGACACATCCGCAGCTGAGGGTGATGCAGATCGCGATTCCCATGAACAAGAGGAACGCGTCGAAAGTGTCAACTTCTTCGGCGGCGACGCCCGTAACCAACGACAACACTACGAAGAGTACGTTCGACACTTTGAATCTGCGCCCGTCCATCACGATTCTGCGATGAGAGGAACAGTCATTATTTTAGGCGGAAAAGAATCGTTTCTCCTTCCCCCCCCCCTCCCAGACATGTATATATCACGAGACTCTTGGCCGGCTGCAGTATCTCCCATCTACCCCAGCAATAATCCGAATTAATTGGGTAACTTACGTTGATGCCTCAATTTAGAGACCGCCTCATCAATTCGATACGAGCTTTGATCAAATCGGGGGATTATATCAGCTTCGGATCGCGGTAGGCAGTTTCGAATGAGGAAACAAACAGACGGCGCGCCGCTGACTGAAATCACTCTTTTGTTTTGCTCCTGTTCTGCTATTCCACCGCATCTCGAACGCGCGACGTTAGCGACGTGACGTTCGCCGCCGCGGAGACAAGTGTCGAAAGGAGGGGAGAGCTTAAGACGAGTGGGCATTTGCTCAAGCTGACCAGATTAGAGAAACTACTTGGGGGAAGATAGAAACTTATATTCTGGTTCGGTGTAGTCCGGCTGGAAGCAGGATACCACAGATTTCGAAGGAGAAAACTCCATCGATCTCCTCTCGGCGGCGGGAGTCTGGAGCTGGGCTGTAACTCATCAGCCGAATATGTGGAGTCTCATAGTGGTAACTTCCATCTGTCAAGAAATCGTAAGGACAACTTCCGAGTCTACATACATATATCCATCCAGGGGTTGATCCATTGATCGGTATATGATTCTCAAGCTCACAGTGAGCGGAACTTTCAGGCTCGGACGAGAGCCTATGGACGATGTAATCGTCCGCTTATCTTCATCGAGGAAAGTGCGAGCATCGCGCACCCCCTGTTCGAGACATCGAACTCGCACAGCGGACAAACCTCTGCGAGCAATCTTCATCCCTGACGGGGAAGGAAAGAAGAATTATCGTTTTGGCGGTCTTTCCTCGGCGGAAAAAGCGGTGAAAAACCCAGTCAACTGAGGTCGAGAGGCCTAGATATGCTCGAATTTCTCATAGCCCCGGCCAGCTGGAGGATGAAGGAAGCTTCTGAGATGTCGGGGTCGAGCGACGACTCGCTGAATATACCTCTCGCGAGCTGTCTTTGGCGAAGGGACACGAATCTTCGATCTCAGAACTGAGCAGTAATAGTGCCATGAGACTTCTATCGATTGTGTTTCACTTAAGCTTTTTCCTCCTCATAAGAGGCGATGAGGAGACAGCAGGAGTGCTTCAATGCCATGACAGCGCTCCTAGTAGAGCGATCCCGAGTCTGGAAGAGGTCGTGAGAAATCATCTCCGCAGGGGACGGACCTGGGTCCGCCGAAGCTCTCCGCGGCACTCGGCACGTTCACCCATATGAAATCCTTACGCCGGAGGATCGCTCAATGCCCTCATCATGACGACAGAACTCTGGGCGCGAAAATTTCAAACCCTGGCGGGCCCCTACGGAGGCCGCCAGTGCGCTGGTATCAACTATACAATTATGGAGTATGAGTACTCCAAGCCTTCTGATCCCGATGGAGCCTTGATTCCTATGCGACGATACCTAACTGCGATCTGCAGCTCGGATGCGAGACTTCCGAGCAAAGATTCCGCTGAATTCTGAGGGAGTTTCGTTGCCATCTTCTGTCTCTTCGGTCTTTCTGCGGAGCCCCTCTCCCTTGGCCGCAGACGGAATCAGCATCGACGGACGGCTCCGGGGCCTCCGGACTCTTTCGCTGTCGGCCAGCCTTCGATGTGAACATTCGGTGATACTAGTGGGAAGTAAGACAACTTGAACCAGATAGGTGGTTCGCGGAAACCAAAGAAGAGGCAGTACTCGAGCGTCGAAATCAGATATTAGTGTGTGTGAATTCCTATCAACTACTACGGATCAGGTAGAGTACCTTTGAGCTCAACTTTGGAAGGACTTGCGCAGAATATATTTCGAGGAAGAGCTATGGACTAGCTTTGTCACTGGCTATTCTCGTAGGTTCTCAGAGACGAGTACTGAAACCAGGCACAGTGTCGAACGGTTGGTGTGGGGTCCGCCTCTTCAGGCATCCCTCGATTACATGGGAGTGTGTTCTTCGCCATGATGGTTATGATTGTCGTGCATCGGATACTGTAGGGTGTGTCAGACGCTCGGTCACTGCTTCGGCCATTTGTCTATCCGTCTCTTGTCGCTCCGTGAGCAGAGAAACTGATGCTGCAGTCTGTGTAGATCCAAGTGCTCGTTTCTCTTGAGATCCGCCTGTTCTTTCATCGCCAACCCGGTTCCTTCCTACGGACACCGTCTTTCCCGTAAGACGACAAGACCAATACCGGCTTTGCGAGCCCGCCGGCGAGTGGCTCAAAAGAATCTTCTCTTCTATCCATATTGCCTTCCATCAGCTGTCAAACGTGAGCTTCCCCGATTCCATGCCTCGACATAACAATCATAGCCGGTGGATTCTTCCTCATCGGCCTCGCGATCGATCGGGGGAGAATCCTCTGTCCCAGACCGCGGAAAGCGACAAGCTAGAGCCTGCTGAACTTCTCGGGAGAGTCATGGAGTTTTCCGTCGCCGAAACCGTTTGTTTTCGACCACGATAATCAGAAGCAATGGGAGACACTGATCGACGTCACGGCTTATCCGCGCTTTTCGGCGGAGAAAGCTCCCTTCGGGAACATCTCGGTATGAACCCGTCGACCAGAATAGAGTGTTCGGAACATTGTGGACCGTTACAAGAAATCAGTAACAGGCACAATGTGGACCAGACAAATGTACCGTTAGTGAACGTTACTGCCGACTGCTGCACCTCTGACCTTTGCTCTCGGGAATGAGCCGACTTCGCCGCATCTGGCGAAGCACAACCCAGCTCTGAGCAAGTGTAGCATCGTCAGACTTCTTATTCTGCCGCGCTTGAGGTAGTGCCTGTATAATAGAGACGACGTTGTATCTGTATCATAGAAAAAACAGAAACCAGCGTAGGACCCCGTTTCCTGAAAATTCTCGTCAGTATAATGGGTCAGACCAGCGACGCGGAATGTGAATATTATGTATTGTGTCCGAGACGTCTCCCATCGAGTTTGAGAGAAAAATTCCTGGGACCAATAATTCGGGCAGCGATCCCGCAACCGATTCATGACTTCGATTCCTGCCGATCAACGTTTTTTCGTCGAGTGATGTCGAGTTCTCGATACGAATCAGGAAAAATACGTTCTCTGTTGTGAGAAAACATTTCGTGTTTAGAACGCTGCGCCGGAATGGCTCGAATCTTTTTCAGCCACAACCAGAGCTGAAGGTTCAAGCAAATTCGGAAGCCTTTGTTTGCTATTTCTGTGTTGGGCTTTGAATCCGATTCGGAAGATCAGGGTCAGGCTGCATCCAATCCCTCTCTTCGAGTAGATCGGGCGTTTGCTTTCGGCTACCTAATTCACTTATCGCACCAAGCCTATCGTGTCGCCATTTCAAGGTTGTGTTATATCCAGAACGAGCTGATCTGAAAGCGAAATCTTCACTTTCTTAGCCAGTGGGTGTAGAAAGTTGCCTCGCGATGCGTTCTGATGGGAAATGGCTCGCGTAATAGCGGGTGAGGCGAACAATTAAATTTGATGCTCACGCCTTGGAACTCTGTAATTTCCCAAGCTCTTTGAGTGCTCCGCAATATCCACGGTGAAACTTCACAAATGCCATAGATCTCGAGTGTGAAGATCCTTGTTGGCTGTTTATCACATAGTTAACACAGGCACGATGAAAAAAAATAGGGATTCGCAGCGGAGGGAATCATGGGCTGAGCTGTTTTCCGTTGTGCGAAGATCGATTCTTTTCGTGGAGCTGACCTCGACGAGCAGAAAAGGGCCTTTTCTGACCGGCGTAGCATCCTTCTCTTGGACGTTTTCAAGTTCGACGCTCAAGGGAATCCCAAAAACGGATCTGAGATCCGCATGATCTCGATGAAAGTCGAGAACACGTATCGGAATAGCAGGGAACGCGCGGAGGGGTGCTCACGCCTAAAGATTAGGGAGAACCAATATTTCAACCCCGAAGGGGTGCCCACTCATTAGAGGTCGCTCGTTTATTTTTCCATTTCCTCACGGAATGCCCGTTCATTAAGTCTTGAAGAATGTGCCTGTTCATTGGAATGAATACGGTAATCGGATTCATTTTCATTTCTGTTGCGCCCCTGCAGCGACTTCGTGAAGAATAATATATTCTGAACAAGGAAAGTGAGTCGTCGCTTCCTCACCTCTCCTTTGACTCTTCTCCCATATTCCAGCCAAGAGGATGCCATTATTTTCGTCGATTTTGGGACGACGCCGTGATCCGGGAGACACAGAAGAACTACAGACTTCGGACTCCATCAATGGGAATTCAGGGAACAATCACCGAGCGCCCTCGCCACCTCCTTCGAAACTCGTCTTCCACTGTCAACAGGCCCAGGGTTCTCCAACAGGGATCATATCTGGCTTTACGAACATCAAAGAGCTCTACGCGAAAATCGCCGACTGCTACGACATCTCTGTTTCAGAGGTAAGTGCTCGCTAGGCGTGAAAGTTCAGAAATAATCTTAACTCATGACATAGTCGAAGAACGGAACCGCTCGCTCGGAAAGGAAGTTGAGGAATGGCCACGCGCGGCCAGCATCCGCCCGATGACCAAACGCTTCACCCTCTGAAACCTTGAAGGGAATGAATCGATGTGAATGGGTAATTCGACTGGCTGCGCTACCCTGTGAATGACTATTCTCCCTGATTCTCGCGTCTGTAGTCGATTGTGAGAGGGAGGATTCCTGACGTGGATTCCCAGAGTTTCGTTTTATCGAAATTTCCATTACGCCGTCAATCGTCTAGACGGCTACGAACCCACTCCAAGGCTCGATCGCGGCCAAGATCCGCGACAAACTTCTCGACAAATGCAGATCATATCCAGGAAGTCGATGTTCGCGGCACGAGCCGTCACTTGTTTCAAGTATTCGACTCTTCTAGAGAAGCGTGGGACCTGAAAAATTGTACGGAACGCTGTTCGAGCGTTTCCAGACCAGTTGCCGGCGATTTTGCCGCGATTGCGTGTCATGATCGCGGGCGGCGCGTCGGATTGCGAGTCGCTTGGTTGGTTGGTGGTTGCTTTGATGGTTATGTGGTGCGAGTCACCCCGAAGCTGTTCTGATTCGGATTCTGGCTCGACTTCCCTTGAAAGCGTTCATGATGATGATTAGGATGTCGTTGTTAGTGTTGCCGCTGTTGTCAACCCAGCAGCAACGCGCAGTGCTTTGACGACAATAGAGGGCGGATGGGTCAGTCATCTCTGACTGACCAAGCTGGAACAAGGGCAGAGCTCCGCACGAAGTGCGCTGGTGCTGGGAACGTCAGTGATACGCAAGCTAATTTTTTCGCTTACTCTCGTTCATCTACAGCTGAATGAGGCCATGGATTATTTCATTATTCGAAAGTTTCATACACTTCCATTGTCATCGACGATGGGGAGCTGCCTTCCCAAGCATTACTTTCTACATTCCCGAACATCCGAACTGACGCTACATTATCGTGGTTCGAGCTCCGCCTGAATCCCGGGTTCATCTAGCGAGTCCTCCAGAATAATTCCGGGACTCAGAGACAACTGACGCCTTCTCCGGTGATCGTCCCAAACTAGGCCTCCTTGGCTTTCCGGATCTACCACTTCCCCCAAACCAACAGTTTAATATAGAGGCGCTATCCGAGGAAAAAGTTTGTGACTTGGAACGATCCGTGAGCATTGAGTCACCCGGCACGCTTCACCGCGCTGACCAAGTGTTACAGACCAAAAGAAACTGTACCGTTGAGCGACAACTCAACCGGATTCCCGAAGGCGTCAAGCGAGCCCTTTTCAGAGACCCGCGCTGGAGCGCGGCTTGCGGGGGCGAAACTCCACGCTCACGGAATCGATGCTTACGCTCTAATATTTGCTATAGACTTGGGCTCATTTCCTGACTCGAGAATAGAGGGAAGAGAGCATTCCCGAGGGTCCAGAAACGCTGAGAAGCCGAAGATGAGGGGAGAGAGTCGAAAATGTTCCGATCAGCTACAGACTGAGAATTCGCCGAACTTTCTTCCAGATATTGTTCTGCACTCTCAACACACACAAAGTGGACATGTCCAAACTCCTTGGAGGGCAGATAGGTCTAGAAGATTTCATCTTCGTTCACCGGAAAGGTCAAGTGAAGGAAGTTGAAATACACAAACAAGAAGACTCCCTGGGCTTGACCATCACCGATAACGGGGCTGGATACGCGTTCATAAAACGAATCAAGGAAGGTTCGCTCATGGATAAAATCGGTTTCGTCCAGGTAAGTGATCGGATCGTCTCGAAGCGTCTCTTCCCGATGAATTGTGCACAATCGACTTTGGTCTGGGAAGAGGATGTTGCTACTCTGTGCTCGAGAAAAGATTTCCGAGAGCCCGTCGTGAACTCTCCCGGAGTTCTGGTGGCCCTGACTCATTCCCCTCATTGCGCGAGGGATGACGACAAAACACGAGGTGTTGCCAGAGAGGCGGATACACCCTCGTGGCGATGAATCTTGTTCGCAAAGCAGATCGAAAGCGAATGATTCGCCGAATGCTTGCTCTTGAATTGCCGCAGCGACGACAGCGGGTACTCAAACTACCCGCGGTCGCAGACGAAGAGAGTCTTTGACAAGCGGCCGGTCACATTAACAATTTCATAAGACACGGCTAGAGCAGAAACCATCGAGCCGATCGTTCTTACGGGAGGGGAACTCCGACGCTCTAGCACGATATCTGCCGAGACTATCATAGATCGGTTGAGATGCGATAACTAGGTTTTCACGCCAATGTAGAGCGTGTGTCAACATCGGAGACATACTTACTGCTTTCATGAATATCAACTGTGGGAGGAAACGCAGGAACGGTGCAAGGGGAGATCTTTCGGCGTGAATATCATCACGGGCTGGTGTTAGCCGCGAAGCACAGGCGTGCTCCAATCAGGGACCGTGGTCAGAATGAGCGTACAGTGGCGGCTCTGAATCTCACTCCGTCTTCATTCGTTCTAGGTTGGAGACCACATCGAAAAAATCAACGAGACCCCCATGGTGGACTGTCGGCATTACGAGGTGGCCAAAGCTCTGAAGGAAATAAAAAAGGAGACATCTTCATTCTGAGGCTCGTCGAACCTCTGAAAGCGGGATTCTGTGAGTTGGCCGAGAATTCTTGCTCTCTGTATGATTAGTATAATTAGTGATGCGTGGTAAGAGTCTACGCTCCATCAAGGGGAGAGTTGTCGAGGAGTTTCACGGGCAATTCCCCTTATGGCGTCGACGATAACGACTCAATAGTCTGATGATCTCTATATCTTTTCCAACCGTTCCTCAGCCAATATCGGACCCAGGAACGGGAGTTCGAAAAAATCGTCGAACTACGGCTCCGGGAAGGAGACTTTGAGATTGCGCTCAAAAGGTGCAGCCACTGTGGAGAATGCGGTAAGGGCTCGATGAATAAGTTCTCTGATCAAGAATAGCAGAAATCACTAGAAGCGAATGTCCCGACTCGATCATCCCCTCTTCCCGAACGTATCCGAGTCGGAGCAGTGTCTCACCTGGACTTGCTTCCTTCCCGCAGCCCGATGATGCCATGCAACTCGCCGTAGAGAAAATAAACTCGTGTCTCGAGTCCTTCATGGGGATCTCTGATTCCGAGCTCGCCACTCAAATCTGGGAACTCGGCTCATCATCTCAGAACCCTCATCTGTTCATACAAGCTCTAGAAAACTCCGAATTAGGGGCTTTCAGTTTTACTCAAGATTTCATGCTGGATCTGTGGGGAGCGATCACCGATGCGAAGTGCGGCCGAATCCAAAGCATGTCCAAGTCGAATACGTGAAATGAGTGCATGACAAACAGAGCTTCCAAGAAGTCGGAAATTACAAATCACTGGTTCGTTTCGCTCATCCGTGAAATCTTGTATGTATAAGATAGCTCTAGTTCTTCGAAGCGAACACGCGCATAGTCGAGTTCATGCGGCCCGACTCGCCGGAACTTGCAAGAAGTAGCCTCAACCAAAAATGAGAATCTTGGTCTGACTTCAACTCGAGGTTTCGAATCATTCCTACGCAATTTTGAGGATAAATCCTCCGCTTCGACTGGATCAGAAACCTGATGCCCATTCAAACCGAAGCGACGCACCTGTGAATACTAGACTCAGCACATCATGCACATTAGGTAGAGCTTAATAACTAGTCACTACGAAGCGGAAAATACATTCGATCGATTGTGGGACTCGTGTTCTCTTTTCATTGAGGCGGCGTTGTTCGAGGGTAAGACGCTGACATCAGTGCCTTCATGGAATTCCGGCGATTTGCGACACCAGCAGAGCGCGAGGAGGTCAGCGCTCGCGATTGTTGCGCTTATCGGCTCCGAAGACCTTGAATTTCGAGGAAACACGATATTCTAATGGCTCTGCCATCGAAATCTCGTACCCTGCCCCTGAGACTACTCGTCCCTCCTAGCTGTACGGCTCCGTCTGCTGGAATCATTCCTCAATCTCGTGTTTTCTCCCAAGACTATTGAGTAGGCCCTTCATGGGGGCTTCCGTCGAGAAGGCTCCCGCGAGTGCCGGCATCGATGCGAACGATTTCCTTGCTGGGGGTTATGAAAGATCTCTAGGAAAATGTCCACTAGATCACGATTTTATTGACCGTTCTTCCACCGTCGTGCACGAATCTTCGATGAAGAGCATCTCAAAATATCGAATTAAGTTCACCGAGCAAGCTTCAGTTGCTCCTATCGCCGGATGGGTTTCCCGATGTCTTGAGGTCGTACCTACATGCCAATTTAGCTGTTTGATCGGAGCGTGAATCTCGAACACGGAAGGAAGTAGCGCGATCCGAGATTATCGAGGATAAATATTTTTCCCTAGTTGATGAACAAGTCCGAGATTCTCTGGCTGGCGGCTTCAAGCCGCAAGATCGACGAAACGATCACAGGGCTCTGTATGACTGACTTGCGAATTGTATATGTACTACCTTATTTGCCTGGAAATCATGTTTTTTTTTCGAAGTAGAGCCAAAATTCGGGGTAGAACCGAAATAAGCCGAGCTTACGAAATCAACAGTGAGGAACGAGTCGTTCCGATTGGTTCTGAACTGCTGTAATCGAGCAGGCTCAACTAGTATATAGCAGGCTGCTGGCGAGCAAGGCGAGCAGGCTTGCTGACCCCAGAAATGGAATGATTCTCGAAGAACCCTCGATTACTCCCGATTCCGAGAGTCTTCATCTGATTGAATCAAGAAAAGCTACTGCTTGCCCAGCGACCACAGATTTGTTTCATTAGGTAGGTACTAGAGGTTGTGAGGATAACATTAGCGACGGCTCCATATAATTAGCTATTCCAATCAGTTGATATTTTACACTGGTCGACACAAAGACACAATCATCGCTTCCCATGGTTGGAAGTCTTCTTTCCTGATACCCAATATTTTATGAGATGTACATAGGGTACGAAATATTAGAGGTCATTCGTTTCCGGATTTAAATTCTTAGTAAATCTCTTCTACCGGTCGCATACGCCGATTCTAGGCCTTGCGGGGTTTCTTCGCTTTTGGTTCAGTTGCAGTGACGCTGCGTTTCGCGGGTTTGGGAGTCCCTCCATTCGACGTCTTCTTGCGCTTACCCTCACTCTTTTCCTTCTCTTCGAGCTCTAAGTTTTCTCGTTCGATCAGAGTGATGAGTGTGTTGCATCGTCTTTGGAGTTCGGTGGCCGTACGACTCTTGATAAACCAGTCAAATCGGAACTGTGGAGCCTGTCGAACTGAGGCCCTGAGTTCGTCGTAGACGTTGTCGGTTCGATCGAATCCCAGTTTGTGGATCATGCAAACCAGGAATCGGTCTTCCTCTTCGGTGTAGTTCTTGCCTTTGTTCGAACCGTATGATATACGTAACTGATGGAAGGGTGCTCGATATCGACACATTTTCGAATCGAGGGCTCGTTTGATTCCGGCACGTCGCTGGATTCTGGTTTCACCCTTCTCGATCTGAGCCATGATCTTTTCGATATCTTGAAGTTCTTGGCAACGTTCCCAGAACACCTGCGAGTACTCGACAACTTCCTCAGGGGTCTTTCCTTCGACATCTCTCGAAATGCTCTCGATATCTTCGCGTCCGAATTTCTCATTAGCTTTGATGAATTGATTGAAGTCTCTCCGGCTCCAGTTGGTGAAACCCTCGGTGAGTAGGCGCTCTTTCTCGGCCACCTCTTCCTCGGTGAGCGGTTCTGCCTCGTCGATTTTTGCCTGTTCTTCGAGTTGGACGCGAGTGGCGTCGGCTCCGAGGTCGGGGTTTTTGGCGACCTTGTACTCGATTGTCTTTCGGAAATGATAAATCTCTTTATCCAAAAGCTCGAATAATCTTGGCGGGAAGAACTGGAAGTCCTGAACGTTCGGTTGTTTCGGCGGACGAGGTGCTTTCGGAGCTTTCGGTTCCGATACCCGCAAAGCTTCTCGAAAATATGCATCCACCTGATAGTTGGCGCGACGTTCTCTCTTCGGGGGCTCGATCCAATTGAGACCTGCGTTCTTGCCTTTCTCACGGAAGTCTTCGCCTTCAAAATTATATACCGAGTAGCCTTTGTTCTCCTGTGTGTCCATGGTGAAGTTCCGAAGAGAGCTCTCGCCCATGGCTTCGTATTTCTTGTTCTGCTCTTCGGTTTTCCTTTCGGCTTTCTCGAGGATAGCATCGATGTCCTCGTCGGTTATTTCGCTTTCTTTCGAGGCGAAAATCTTGTCGGCGCCGTGCCTGATCATGCTCATCATTTCGTCTTTTCCCAATTTGTTGCTGTTATCGACCAGACGGCCTTGCTGGATGACCATCTTATCAAGACGGAGCTTGACTTCGGCCTTTTCGACGATACGCTCTTCAATGGTGTTCTCGGTGACGAAACGGAACACCTTGACAGGCTTCAGTTGTCCAATACGATGAGCTCGGTCCATGGCTTGCAGGTCAGCCTGTGGATTCCAATCGGAATCGAAGAGAATTACGATGTCGGCTGTGTAAAGGTTTATACCGAGACCTCCAGCACGGGTCGACAGCATGAAGACGAATTTCTCGCTGCCTGGTCTGTTGTACTCGATAATGGATTTCGTTCGGTCTTCGTGAGGGGTTTGCCCGTCCAAACGACAATATTGCCAATTCCTCCAGTAGCAGTAGTCTTCGAGTATGTCGAGCATACGTGTCATCTGAGAGAAGATGAGGACTCTGCTACCTTGTTCCTTGAGACGCGGCAGCAGTTTGTCCAAAACGACCATTTTGCCGCAGTTGTAAACCTGAATCAAGAAAGGAAAACGGGATCAGAAATTTATCCACGCTCAGAGTCCCGCTCAGTCGACGACGGGATTCGTTTAAATAGATTTGTAAGTGCAGTATCGCACAGTTCGCGGAATTTTTTTCGCAAAACCGCCAGATGCCGCAGAGTCGGCCAACACTCGGATTCGATGTCGGAGAGGAGTATCGGTTCAAGGGCGTGACTCTTGCCAATTTACCTTCTTGCTCTCCTTGCTAGATGGTATCAGATAGTATATCCAGACCCTTGGTCCAACTCACCAGGTGTTCATCCGTCGTGTAAGGGGGTCCGGGCTCGGCGCCGTCGAAAAGGTAAGGGTGGTTGCAGCATTTTCGCAACTGCATGAGGATGTTCAACAATCGCATCTTGTCAACTTTTCCGGCGCCGTTGACCACATCAATGTCTTTCATCAAGCATTTGGTGTACCATTCACGCTGCATTTTGCTCAGACCCACGTAGATCTTCACTTCCTTCTTCGGGGGCAGTTTCTTCTCTACCTCGCTCTTCAGACGACGAAGGAGGAAAGGTCGGAGCACGGCGTGCAGTCTCTCGACCAGGTCTTGATCTCCGAACACGGAGTTCGTACTGAACCACGAGTCGAAGTCTTCTGACGAGTTGAAAACGTCCGGCAGCAGGAAATTCAACAGCGCCCAGAGTTCATGCAGATTGTTTTGGAGGGGAGTTCCTGTTAGCAGGAGACGGTTTGTGGTTTTGAACTCGCGCACGATCTCGGAGAGTTTGCTTTTCTCGTTTTTTATTCGGTGGGCCTCGTCGATGACCAAGTAGCGCCAATTGAATTTCTTCAGAACTCCTTTTTCTCGGATGACCATCTCGTAGGAAGTGATGAGAACGTCCCATTTTTCTTGCATGACAACGTCACGGATCAGGGTGTTCCTCGCCTCTTGATCACCGATGAGAATGACCGTACGCAGCGAAGGGCACCATCGTTCGAATTCTGCTTCCCAGTTAGCCAGGGTAGATTTGGGTACGAGCACCATGTGAGGCCCGTTGATGTTCCGGAAGTGCTTCATGTAACCCAGGAGGGAAATAGTCTGCAGGGTTTTTCCGAGACCCATCTCGTCGGCGAGAATTCCGTTGATCCCTGCAGAAGGACAGACGAGTTGCACAGGCAGAAACGACGCAAGCATCACGAAGACAGGAGACCTCGTCCACATTAGCCACTGAATGATCGAAGATCGCTCTCTTCCACCCACCGTTTTCATACAGCGAAATCATCCAGTTTAGACCGCGAATCTGGTAGTCTCTCAACTCGCCGCCGGTGATGTACTTGGGACTTTCGTCGAATCGGACACAAGCCACCTCTTGAGTGCTGCTGTTCGCAATCAACTCCTCATCCTCCTCCTGTTCTGTCATGCGGTGCCGATGGCTGAAGATCAGAAATATCATCCGTCAGCGATTCAAACTCCAACAACTCGTTGGCGGTATGAACATTGGGTACACCCGCGGACTTACTCTCCAGTCACCGCCTGCTTGTCTTTCTTCTCTCCCTTATCCTTCCGGGGACGACCCTTGGGCTTACCGCCACCGCCTTTGTTACCCGCTTGGGAATTCTGCATGAAATGGGCGAAAATTTCTGTTTGCTGAAGCAGGTAGTCGAATCTGTGGAATTTATGAGAAATCAATTAGAGTGCGCTTCGAACGACGAGCGAAGTCGAATACCAAGCATAGCGAAGGTCTCCTCCCTCCCCTACCACTTACCTATTACTGCGATCCTTTTCCACCCGAACGTTGAATTCGGCGTTGTCCTTTTTCTGGCCAGTTCTCGAAGACGAAGATTCGTCGTTCTCGTTCTCATTATCGGGCGTAGCATCCTTACTGCTGCTCTCCTCTTCATCTTCCTCAGGGTCCGCGGCGGGTCCAACAGACTAGAATGAAGAAACTTCTTGAGCGGTCCTGTCGGATACAGCCCGTACCCTCGAGCATCGGAGCGATGTCTGTCGGGTGTCGCGGATCGACAGACGTTCGGCTGCTCCTGGTGTGCCGCCCGCCTGGTGTTCTCCGGATCAGCGTGCGCGTCAGTTATTTCTTTCTCCAACGCGCATCTATCCCAGAATTCTCAGGGAAACGAAGCCACGCCATGTCGATGTCGCTCCGAACAAGAACCCACAACAATCGCTCCCTGAATGCGCGACTCCTTTCGGCGTCTATCACTTGGCGCAAGAAAGCGCTGAGGGTCCGATTCCAGGGAGCGCGACTCGGCATCGAAGCTACGGAACAGCGTCGTCGCGGAAACCACACAAGAGACATTTCTTGCATCCGACCGTCCCGTGTTTTTCCGTAACTCCGAGCTGCCCGCCTCTCGTATTCAGTCAGTCAGTCAATGATGTGATTAGGACATTCCAATGAGCCAGAGACACACATGTCATCCGCGGTGCAGCATTGATTCGGTTCGAGTTCTCCATACGAGAGGAATATTCATATGAGTTAGGGAGAATCTCGCCCATCGGAAATTGCGCAACATTCTCGCGATTCTCCGAAGCCATGCCGCAAAGAGGTAGTGAAACACGCCGCTCGCCGCCATCTCCTCTACAAATTGGGTTTAGAGACTCGAGATGACATAAAAAACACGAGTAAAACATCTGTGAACAGCGGATACGGCAAAAGCCGGTGAGCGCCATAATGGAGCAGCACCCGACGACAGAGCGGCTCAATGCTTCGACAACGCTCCGGTAAGTCTCACCTTCTCGGAAACATTCTCAGGACTCTCGTTTTCCGGTTGATCACCAGTCTCCATCGGTTCTCCCTCGGCACTCATCCTTCCAAGCTTGCCGAGAGTAGTTACGATAAATTGATGTCACAACGATGTCGGACCCTTTGAGCTCACTGGTACGCTGAACCTCCACACACTGAAGCGTTAGTGTGTTGTGTGGTGGTGGTGGATAGGGCTGCTGCGAGAATGGCGGCCGCGGCGGCAATGGCGGCTGCTGTGCTGAGGCGGGCAACGAGCTCTCCGGCCAATCAGGGGGACCGATGGGAATCGGTTCTGTTTACACGCGCCAATTTCAAAATTTGGCAGCCCCGCGAGAATGTATGGTATATTGTCGGGTTCACAAGCTTCTCTTTCGAATAATTTATCTCGTTTCAACGCTGAGAGAGCTGAGCTGAGCAAATATCGTGAGCCTTTCTGTTGGTGTAGTGTCAGACGAAAGTCTCAAAGACCCGGGCAATACGATGGGTCCGTCGTGAATGAATACTTTTTTTCCCGGAGCCCAGAAGCGGCAATGCCCGCAAGCGCTCCATTCGCAGTGCCAGATCTCTCTACGATATCGGAGACTTGTCAAGATCGACGAATTGAAGGTGGAGGGTCACATTTTATTAACAAAAATGGTTTGTACATAACAGTGATTCTCGCGAGGTGACAGTAAATGTTTCCTTGTGAGGCATCCAGACGTTGATCAGACACGGAATAGTGAAGAAGTAGTAATGAGAAGGCGTACAGGAGAAACGGGACCTTCGATTCGAAAACGATAGATGAAAAGTCTGCACTGGGCTCGGCTCAGCTCTGTGCATGAGTGGTCCCGCCGGGGTTTCCATCGGCGGGTTCCTCCTCCATCTGCACATCGCTCGGCTCAGCGTCAGGCTCTGCATCATCCTCTTCTTCGTTGCTTTCCTCTTCCTCCTCTTCGGCTTCGTCATCCTCGTCTTCCTCCTCTTCTGCTTCGAAATCAACTCCTCGATTCGCCTTCCCGATGGGAATGAACTCAGAATTTGAATGCTTCAACTTTTCGAGGAAGGTTTGATATCGTCGCTCTTCACTCGTTAGTTCAGCTTCATCCAAAGTCGTTTCTTCCGGAGCGAGCCACTGCATATCGACAACCGCTGGAAAGGACAGAAGCTATATTGGTGAGGTGATGATGGGGACGGATATCGGGTCGACGAGACGTCGAGTCACAAAGATTCGTCGAGCAATGAAGCTCGAATGCAATAGCCCCGATGCACACCCATTTCGGCACGATACTCACGCGGGAGTTGTCTAGGGAGCCACGGCACCTGCCAAGTCATTCTCGAAGACGGATGGTCGAATGGGTAAGGAACCGCCTTAAGAGATGTGCCGGACTTCCTTCCAGTCCCGAAGGATATCTTCTCCGGAATTCAGCTTGAGGAGCGTGAACTTCCGATGCGAAATGATCTTGTTATGCTTTATCTCTCGGAAGGGGCTGGTATAGGGGAGAAGACTCGGGTTCGGCTGGTGAGCTTGGGCGGCTCGTCGGACGAGCAATTTGAGCGTGGTGCGGAAAAGCAGGAAGTCCGTCGAAACAAATTGAAACCCTGTAGGTGAAGAGAGGGGTATGGTTGATCGGAAGGACAGAAGTCGAGGAATGAAGTTTCCTAGGGACGGGTGATCCTGATCTTCAAGAACGCGAGGACAATAGCTTAAGCTTGCGCTGCTTAGGACGGATATGAAACGCACAGGGGCAACCTATGTAATTGTAGAATTGTAGAGATCCAGTCCGAAGCTGGAGAAGAGCGGTCGCAGACGAATGTTTGCCAGGAGCGCTGATGATCGTGATCCCTGCTTGGGACACAGCGAAATCTGTGATAACGAATTGCGAACTGCAAGCTGCGTGGTGTGCGTCGTATATCGCTCGATCCTCTCCGGAGTCTAACAACTGGGGGAGAAAACTCATTGATCTCGTAGCATTCGCGGAGGAATCGGAAGAATTGTGCGACCGCGCCGCCGCGCTGAGTGTCGCGGTGCAAGGACGCGGCGATATTCTGGCATCCTCGACAGTCGGCAATCGACTCGCTGATTAAAAAAATAAGGATTTCTCGTCAGAGTAATTGAGGCATGATGCATGATCTCATTCGCTTGAACTCACACACACAGTTCATGTATTTATGCGAGTGAGCTGTCGACCGCACGGATGCCAGGCTCCCTTCGCCTCACTCAGCAAGGAGTCGCCCATGGAGACATCGGCTCGGAATTCAACCCACTTGAGCTTCGCGAATGTTCGGCGGGGCAGCACCCTTGGCTCCGAGCGGGAATCATATTCAAAAATCCTTTTCTAGGCTAATTGAGTCATCATTAATGAAGAAGGCTCAACGTGTAGCCTGGAGTTCTTTGGTGCGGCCCTCGGAATCAGCAAGCCTCCCTGGATTTCATCAGTCTCCAGAAAAATCGGGATTCTTGCTCTTCCGGCGATCCAAAGAGCCGAGACTTTGCGCTAATCGAATCTTTTCGCGCAGCATCATAGGCCAGATCTGCGAGGCTCCAAAGAATCGAGAGCATGCTCTTCAATATTCAAATCGCAGAACTAGTTGCCCACGCAAAAATTTCTGAGCGAGGAATTCTAGCCGTGAGCTGTGAGGCGGGATGGCCCGCTGATTTCGGGAACAGGCGATCCGAATCGCAGCCGTCGCATGTCGTATTGCCCGCTGCTACCCGCTGCCACGGGCGGCTTCGCGCATTGATATCTCGTCGCGAGAAGTGTCTTCTGCCGGGTGTTGTGGGTTTCAATCGTGGTAATTCCGCCCTGGGTCCGACGGCCGGAGTCCCGAAGATCTTAAAAGTCCATCAAAATTCTCGGCGAGTCGTGGAAGCACTGTGAGCGCTCCGCGTTGGAAGTTCCGGAAAGATCTACTTGAAGCCGTGCGGACGTATCACCGCGCCGAATTACAACGGTCCTCTGATTTTGGGAGTCGAGAATCGCGCGAATTCCCATTGGCGATTCCATGGATGTGAATCCAGCCATTCCCCGTAATTTCGCCGCATAACTGATCTCCTTCGGCTTGAAGAACCCACGATGGAAGTGTTGCTGTTCGAAGAGAGCACAGCCCCACATGCAGAAAGCGTTCGCCAACGTCTCCCAGCTGGTTACACAGTCCTGTGCACGGAAGCGTTCGACGATGTCTCAACGCCGACGATTTTCTCCTTCTTGGTCAACCTAGCAAGGAAACATTCATTATTGGGCAGCTGGCAGAGCACCGTGCTGTCTCACAAGGAGTTTTTCGAAAGCCTCAAAGTGGTCTCTTCGAGATTGAATCTCGAAAGCTATGGCGAGTTCAATGTGACGACTTCTAGCGTGATCAATTCACACAAGGCTTACTTTGCCGGGGAGGACGACTCGAATGCCGCTGCCTATCGGTAAGTTTCACCATCTTCTCAGATGTCTTCCAGTCGGCGAGCTCAAGCCTGGACACGAACCGCTAAATCTTCTGTTCGTTCCAGGAATTTCCTGAAGGAGTGCAATGCTGTGGACCAGTTCGCCTTGCTGAAGCTTCTCAAAAACAATCGGGGACTTCTTGAGGATGATCTCGGGAAATCCTTCAGGGTCGAAGGGACGATCAGGAGCGAATGGCAAGTTTCGGCGATATCTTTCCTCGCGGGAAAAAAATCCCTCCGAAGAGTTCAGACCGAGTTACCGATGGATGGAGCCGTTACCGAGATCCTCTCGAGCCAGATCAAGTACGAAGATATTGAGGGGTGTCACCGGAAGGATGTGAAGTGTCCTAAGCAATCGCAATCGCTCGAGTATACCCTCACGATCCTGAAATCTTTCCTGAACCTTTTGGTCAACACGCGCGATGAAGTTTCGATAGCGTGCGCCTTGGCGTGTCCCCTTGTCAATTTGACCCATGAAGGTTTCACGGTTGTCAAGCGCTCAGCATCGCGAGAGAAGTCACCAATCTATCAGTTCGTGTTGTCGTACGTCATGCGGAAGCGCTTAGGGGGTGCAGGCTATGCTGCCCCTGAAGATTGTCCCATATCCGCGTACAGCAAGGAGCTGTCGAATTTCGTGGACGTGATGGACAAGCTCCAGACCCTCATCGAGGATAACCCCAAGGTCACGGTTGCAATTAACAAAATCACGAACTCTGTCCTGAATAAGCTCTCCAAGACCATCGCAGGGAACTCGATAAAAATCTCAATGATCGATAAAGCTCGAGGCATCGTCGGAAGCCTTCTGGAGCGGATTCGCGGCCAGAACAACCCAACGGATCCCACGATCAATCCCGGAATCGTCGGGAGGGACACGATCGCGGTCGTTCGCAGTCTTGCCGATGAGCTCGCAACCCTCGGTTATCATCAGAGTGTCAGCAAAATATTGTGCAGTCCGTTCTCGGCTGCAACGCCCAGCCGAACGCCAGTCGGCTCTCAGACGCTATTCAAATTATTCCAGTCTCCCGTAGAGAGCAGAGACGACGACGACGACGATGAACTGAGAGCTTTGACGGACAGGGTACCCCTTGCGCCCACACCACCGTCTAAGCCAGTACTTCCTTTCTCCGTCAAATTCGAGCCCGAAGCTCCGAGACTGCATCTCTTCGACGAGAATGAGCGGATAGATTCAAGCTTCGATGCCGCTGAGGCTCGCTCGACGCCGACGAGAAGGCCGATTCGAGGTCTTTCGTCCCGTAGTACAAATCAAGATACACCTGTGATAAAAAATCTCACGAAGCGGAGAGAGGCGAATGCGGAAGAGAAAACATCAAAGAAACGCCTCAAGCTCGGTGCCAGTGCTCTCGATCCGGAAAATGTTCCTGCGGCGAGTAAGGCAGCGTCTAACCGAGGGAAAGTCAAACCAAAGAAGAAGAAGATTGAACCTAGCTCTAATCAACGATCGCTCCATTCTTTTTTCTCGAGAGTTTGAAGGAGCAGATATATTGTGATCATAGGAATGTAATTCACCAATATCGACGATGTTCTCGAAACAATAATAAAAATAAGTATTTTGAAGACACTCTTCACGTGGCTAGATCTTAACGGGGGAACTCCCGGAATACTTCGTGCTTCCTGTTCTTTCTCAAACAATCAGATAGATGTGTACTGATCATGCTTGGATGTAGCGTGCCGACGCCGACGCAACAAGGAATTCGCCATCCATTAGAAACAGATACCAATAGAATTCTGGCGATGAAATGAGGCGCAAGATTTAGTCCGGAATAAATGCCTTCGATACATGCCTGGGAATGGATCGTAGGCCACTCGTTACTCGAAATACACCACTCCGAACGACTGTGTCATTGGAACCATGGAAACCGAAGCAACACAGAGGATGGCCTCCTTGATCCAAACGAACCCGTCGCCATGCTCCGAACGCGAGTCCGCCGTGACCATGAAGGTTGAACTAGCATCTCGTGGTCGGGTGGCCATCAGTGGCACCACGAAAACTGTCCCGCTAGGTGAAAAGGTAATCTGTGTGAAATTCATCCAGCCTATTCCGAGAGCCCGACCGATTCGATTTGTTGTCATGTCATTCTGGCGGCGAATCCTCGGGGATGGGGTCACGCCTCGCGAATCCGTCGCCCCTGATACCGGTTTCGGGTACTCTCGCAGCAGTCATCCTTGATTTTCGGGGAATCTATCGATCTGCAGCCTAAAAATGAGCTAGTGTGATTCTCTATCGATTTCGCGCGAGATTGCCTCTGGTCGCCGAACCTTAGATCTCGGGAATACTATTCGGATCGCGGTGTTGGACCTTGAACACCGCTTGATGGTGGGCTCGACCCTCGACTCCGCTTCTCACTCAGGAGCTGGAGGCGTTAGAATTCTCCTCGTTCGAGATGCTCCCCAAAAGAAACTTGCCTGTTGTGCTCAGGCTCAGTCCATCGGATCATATCCGAGGGAGCGCGTCTCGCATTCCCCTGTTCCTCCATGGGATGACCAAATCAACGACATTCGCCCCGAGCACACTGCGATCTCATTCTAGGGATTCTTGCGGTGTCGGGGACTCCCCCGTCCTGAACCATCAGAGATGATTCCTATGAGTGATAAGTCTGTGCACTCTAGCGAGATTCCAAATCTGCAATCCATCCACGACGCATCTCGAAAGCTCTCGAAACCGCAGCTGTCTGTACTCCTCCGCCAGTCTTGACTTCATTCAGATCTAGGAGAGACTTATTCATTTCCAAACTCAGTCTATCCTTGATCGAGTCTACCTCTGATATGTATCCATATGTACCGCTCGTATCCTTAGATGAGGTCTGTGGTCGGGCACGCTAGAGGCGATTTCGCTCGTCAGGAAATTATCGTCCGTGAGTCCATGCAATGGTCATGGTCCATTCAGATGGTCAGTAGGCGACGGTAGCGAGTTTGTCCGCGATTCCGTGTTCATCTGGCGATATCGCAGAGTTTCCTTGACCAGAGCATCATCACGCTTTCTGTGTCGCAACAGGACCGTAGATCTGCCTTTGTGAAGCATCATGATTAATTCATCAATCGTCATGAGTTCTTTTGCTACATTGCAGGATGACATCCTCGTTGTAAATCCCTCTACTGTGGCAATACTTGACAAAAGTCAAACACTCAGTCGACAGACTAGGAAACTAAACTTCCTGACTCGAGCGGTGATACTGACCGCGTCCGTGGAAGGTCAGTATTCCCTGTGAGCCTGATGCCTACGCTCTAATAAAATGCGCCAATGCAAGTGCCTCCATTGAGACAGCCTTGAGATCTCGGAAGATCATGCTTCACGCCTCGAATGCATGAACTGTCCTCGGTTGGCGTAGAGAATCGATGTCGTGACCAACGATAGGAGTCTATGTCCGCGCAATCGATGAAGGCGCAGTGGATTCACGATTTTACATTGGCTGTCTGACGACTCGGGGAGTTTCGGATAGATTTTGATGTCATTATAAGGACTAAGGTAGCTCCCTTTCCTAATCGAATACATCCATCTGACAATGATCGATATTCCTGTTGTAATCAACTAGGGAATTTCGTCGCTGGGGTTACCGAAAACGGACGTATTTTTCGATTCGACAATCTCAATCACGCACAGTGGATAGACTCGCCTGGTCTAGAGAAGTCTAAAGGTGAGAAGCCGCCATCTATCACGGATTTCGCGTCCTTGTCGGAAGATCGAGGCAAATTGAGCTCCTCAGAAAACCGCTCTCTCGGCGAATACGTAAATCGCGATTTTCAGTTGCACAGATCTGCGTCGACAGCAGCGGCAATATCCTAGTGAGCAGTGGAGAATTATGCGTTTACAAGTTCAGTGTGCGCAGTCTGTCATGGGAAGTGTTCCCATGTCCTTTCCTTCTGCCTGAGTTCGTCACCGTCAGACTCGCGGGTTGTTCAGCTTCGAGCTCCGCCGAAGTTCACGCGACCTTCGCCTGGCTGCTCAGTGACGATCGGATCATCGTGTGTAGCATAGGGTACAAATATCTTGATAGAGTGAGTTCAATCTAATTATTTCAAAATATCCATACGTGGCAGTTTCTTCCGGAACGCGGGAAGCGAACCTAAGAGCTATTTTCCGACTCAGAATCAGTGGCGCATCCGACAAGCGTCGACGTCATTTCTTCCGTGCAGTTCTCTGACGCCGTCCCCGGATTTATCTTGTTTCCTCCTCGTTTCGCCGTCTGCGATCCATCTCGTCCATAATTCGTCGTCACTAGCGCACTTCAAACGGGAGTTTCCAGAGGAGGCTGTGGTGGATGCAACGTGGTGCCGTAACTCCGAATTAATCCTTGTTCTATCGCCTGGCGGTAAATTGGCGATTGTGGCCAAGTTCATGAGCAGTCTTTTCGGTTTCGAGCAAACAGGGAACGAGCACGGCGTTCCTGCAAGCTGGATGCACGTTGTGAACGTGGAAGTGTGAGTTCAAAGGAAAGACCTGAGTACCTACGATTGTTGCATGAGACCACACGATCCCCACGATGGGCCCCTGCTATGGGAAGACACAAACTCATAATCTATTTGGATTCACAGGGGGGACCCTCTTGCACTGAGAGCTCATCTCTCTCCTCACTTAGATGCCCTCATCGTGACAGGCTCGGAGATCTTCACAATTTCGGTCGAGCCCATGGGCCACACTCTACACCTCAACAAGCTCCTCAGCGCGCAGTCGTCGTCGATAGCGATCCTGAGTGAACTCTGCCTGCATTTGGCATCCATCAGGCCGTTGACTGGAGACCATGTCCTGCTGCTGGCCGTTATTAGGAAGAATTTAAGTGCGGGGCTCGACGTTTGCGACGAAGGTGGGTCAAGTTTCTGTCGGAGATCCTGAAACTTCTTCGTGCAGCACTGAAACTATCCCAGCAGCACTCGTGAATCTATGGATTTCAGTGCGACTCGGGGAAATCGGCCCGGTTTTCTGCGCTCTTCTCGAGTGGGCGGTCCAGTTGGAATCGGTCCCCATTGTCAAGCTCATGGTCTTCGCCTTGCGACGCTTCATGAAGGTCGACAAGAAGAAGAAGTACAAGAAGCAGATGCTCGGCCGGTTCTCAGCTGCTCTGCGAGTTTTCGATGTGAGCAACAAGACCTCGGCCCACGTCCGTTTGGGATCCCGAACCCGTCCGCGAGGGAGGGCGAGCAGCATCACAGAATGCTATTATAACGGAGACACAACGGGTGCGATGAAATGTCTGACGCAGCAAGCAGGTTAGTAAAAGACGAATACAGTTGCCCACGATCAGTTTATGTATCTTCGACACCACGGTCCGGGGAGTTATCTCAGATAGTGATAGTATCCTCTCCTCCTCGCCGCTCTCTGTAGAAATATCGTCGCAGTCGAAGGAGTTGGTGAAACGTCTCTTGGACACGAAACAAGAGATCCGAGCTTTTGAAGCTCTCATCATCATCCTAAGCTCTCAAGGCTCCCAGCTGATTGAGATTATCCCGAGAGATCCAAAAGTTCGCCTGCTGTTCCGAAGTTTCGCTTCAAAGATCAAGCAAGCTTCAGTGGTGCGTTGTCTGATCATGATCTACCTAATCGTGAAAAAGCACAAAATCTTAGATTATTATTATCCCCGTCATCGAACGGTGCCTTTACCGGAACCGAATTCGCAGGCGTTCGAGCTTCTTTTCCTCGCTGGATTCTGGAGGGACGCCCTCTCGCTGAGTTGTCACCTGGAGCAACACGGGCTCGAAGCCCTTGTCGCAATCTCTCTACACGAATTGCGACGGACCGGTGAAGCTTTAAGAGACTTCATCATATCCAGCATGAACGAGCAAGATGGGGATCTGCACAAGTCGCCCATCACAACGATGGTCACCAATTTCCTCAGGCTCAACCCTGTCTCAAGCGAGGATTTGTTCGTTGAAACGCTGGATCTCCTCCTCAGTGAATTCCTTCAAGAATGTTCGAGGATATCCTTCGACTCGCCGCAAGCCATGCTCATAACAGTGGAAATACAATCCGACCTCGCAAGTCAGGTGAGACAACGGAACTCCTCCCGGACTCGCTCCCCTTGCCGGAGATGGGATGTAGGCTGGGATGTTAAGCGGAATCGATCGAGACCGATTGTCATGATTGTCATTTACTGCGAGTTTGTGATTTAGGCTAGCTTGACCGGGAAGCTGAAAATCGGATTTGAGTTGACAGTTGGCTTCCTCTCTTGCTCTAGCCATCTCGCCTGCAACTCGTATGCCGGAGCATTCAGTTACTGCTACTATGTTGCGAGACTTGTACTCATCTCTTGGATTCATTGTCTACGGCTTTCCACGAAAGAGAAGAAGCTGTGGAAGATGTACCCACCTCGAATCTGAGAGAATTATCGCTCCTCAAATGCTTTGTGAATATGTTGTTCTGTTTCCAGTTGAGGCGGCTCCTGTTCCAGGTGATTGTGATTATGCACAGCGATGAGAGGATCAAAATTTTTATCTCCAGAAATCTATCAAGGGAATGAAGATTATGCGATCGACCCGACGGAACGATTTTCACCCTCTCTTTTGCAGGAATCGGAAAGTGTCAAATCAATCCAGTTGGCTCAGCAGCTATACATGAACAGTTTCATTCCGTCACACTGGCTTTCAAGATTGGCTCAGATGGTTTACATCCCCAGCCGCTCTGAGGAGGTTGCTCAACGCAAGGCCCTTCGTGACTTTTACGACAACTTCTGTCAGGATATTTGCAACGCGCGCACGAAGCTTAGGCAGCCGAGCAGAAGAGCAGAGCTCAATGTGTCTCCGTTGAGCTGCTTGGAGGAAGCTCTTCTTTCAACGAAGAAAGCGACCCGATTATCCCACGTGAAGCACGCGAACATCGCGCTGGTCAGAGACGACTGCCTGAAAGAGAAGCTTGATTCGGTGAACGTGAATCAAGCGAGATTGAAAAGCGGTGCCAAAGTAGATTTATGTGTTCTGAGTGAACTCTTACTCAACGTGGATGTAGTTTCGAGTCGCGCTTTCGTGTGCGCCCTACTCCTCCAGATAGATCTGACCGACGTGAAAAGGGTGCGTTTCAATCCCATAGTCGACGTCGTGATCGAGGAGGAGCAGGATGAGGAGGAGGACCCAGAAAATTCAGAGTGAGTGTCCCGGCAGCAAAAAATCAGGGATTTCCATAGATCAGCAATCGTTTACTAGCCTCCCACTAAAAAGCTCCTCATTCTTCGTGATGCAGGAATAGAGAGTCTCCGAAACAAACGGCGAGGTTCACGTCGACTGCAAGCAAGTTCCAGAGGTCGTTCTCAACCTCAGACGCCGCGGTGCAGGCGGATGAGCGGTCCACCGTAGCGGCGGCGGCTCCGGACAGAAACCTGATTCGGCAACTCGACTCAGCATTGAAGAGTTTGGAGCGTATTTCCAAATCACAGAGTACGAAAGACGACGACAAACCCGAAGCCGACAAGGCTGACGTTGTGGATTTCGGGAACGATTCGGAGCACATTGCTCTCAAACACATCGAGACGGACTCGAGAAACCGGATATTTTCGTCGCGTCAAATTCCCGGAGAAGGACGATTCGAGGAATCTATGCGACGGATTCGCGAGCTGACTTCTCGGAGTATTCAGAAGTATCAGGCTTCCGCGAAGGGCCTGAAATCCTCCCTCCGAGCCACCGATCGACACAGTTTGACTCAGTCCGCGTTGCGGCTGAAAGTGCGTTCTTCCGATAACGGTGTACATACGACCATGATCATCGACGGCCGCTCATCTTACTCAGCTAAATAATGATGCATAGCTCCCTTCGACCATCTCTCGGTAGGACCGGCGGGCCGCCAGCCCCCTCTCTACCACTATTCGCCGCTGGCGATCGCCTCGCGGCCGGTAGACTCGCTCGCCACGCGGGCTGAGCTCCCCTCCGAGCTTGCGAGGAAGAACTCCGACGAAGATCCCCACTGAAACTTCCGGCCTTGAGTTTCGGCCAGCTCCCCGAAGAACTCCGATCTCCTTAATGGGACTTTGTAGATTCATGTTCGTTTTCTCCATGCATATATGTACATGTGTATGTATTCGTGTGATTGACCGAATTTTGGACTATAAATTGGAATCTCATCCTCCCTTCACCCTTGTTAGTCTATTCCCCATCTTAGAGCGGATTATCCACAGAGAAAGTGTCGTGAATTCCTGTTTCCTGTCTCAATGGCGAGAAGCTACACGAACTGTGATCTCCGAGATCGAGCATTATGAGAGGAAAACCCGATTTGATCAACTCATGGAGCTGCTGTGAAACAGCCAGTAGAAGATTTCCGCTAAGGGCTGGGAGTCCCGTTCGATAAGTAGGCAAAGGAGTTACCGTGCAAACATCAGGAAACTACATGTTTTGGGTGGCAGGTACGGTTGCTCGATCCAATCCCGGGACTCGATCTGTCGATGTAGATCTGATCAGTATCGGGAAGCATCGCGAGAGATGCATCGATCGCTTTCTTTGGATAATCAGAGATTCATCCTCAGCTCCGTGCCTGCAGAAGCTGCTTTGTTCCGCATGCCGGTCGTCGAACGCTACGAGAACCACTCGCTTACGATCAGTCGGGGATCTCCCGGCAGCGATGGGAAGCATGCATTGTCATGGAGTATCCGACCCTCTGCTCCTCTGTTTCCCTGATCGCTGCGGCCGACGCGTCGTCTGAGCACAGGATGAACAAGCTTGTCACATCAAGGGTCCAGGGGGATCACAGGGGTGTGAGATATCTGATGTCTTCCTCCAACTTGCACTAAGCTGGACAGCGCGCCCGGAATCTTCAGCGCTTGAAATCCGTCGGAGGTTTCCCTCTCGCGCCAAACTCTGAGAGAGAAGCTGAAGGTATGACTCCGGACGTCGCTTTGTTGCGTGGACTCATGAATATCAGGTTTCCAAGCTATATGAGATAGCCCGCCATCCTCTTGATCCAGCTGGGCTGTGATTGTTCACACAAGAAGGTTGCGGTGTATTGAGGGACTAACCTAGCCGCATGTCATCGGCCTCCCGAAGGGTCATTCATGTCGGTTATTTCCTCTAGGGCCGCTCACGCTATCAGAGATCTGCCCGGGAGGTGCGCATCTTCCGATCCCCGATCTCCAAGGAACTCCATAGACCTCCTGTGTCACCGTTTATTTTGCTCACGCATGCCAGGAGCCCATAGAGCAGGACCCCTGTCCCGTGTATTGAATTCGTCATCCCTGGTAGCACTCTCATATCGCTTGAACGAGATCAGAGGTCTTGTGAGCCTCGAGAAGGTCGTGCCTTACCGGCTCCCATGGGCCAGTCTCTCCTGGGGAACTGCTGAGAGACTCTAGCTATAGGATACGATAGAATAAGTGATTGTCCTCACCAGAGCTCATGAAGTATCTAGGCCTGGCTCGGGGCGTAGGCTCAAGCATGGTCAAGCTTAAGGGAGTTTAGAGCCTGGAAGGAGACGTTCCGTGAAGGTCGAGGAGTGACGCAGCTATGCCTTGATTCCGCACAACCGGTTGCGCGTTTCGCTGCTAAAGCGCGGGCCGTTCCGCGGAAGGCGGGGGGGCGGGGCTCGAAGGACTAAAATAGTGGATTTATAGTAAGGGCTTAGTATATGACGAAGGAAGTATCTTCATCCGATCGCTTCCGGACACCTTCCACTGAAATGAGAGTTCGATTTGCCTCACAGCGTTGATAGTGTTCTTAGGTATCTTGAGACTGCTCTGTCGAATAGAGATTCGTCTTGACGAAAATACCGGTGGGGCGCAATCTCATGTACCATGGATAGGTGGGACGCGGAGTTTGGGAGAAGTTGAACTATGAGAACAACTCGACTTCCTATGAAGAGCGGTTGCAAAAGTTCAGGGTCCCAAGGGACCCTAGCGACGATATCTCGGGGCTCCGAGCCCGGATTTCTTCAAAACCCCACGGTTACATTGACGAATCTGTGGGGGTTTCACGGTCGGATTCCTGTGGCTTCCGTGGGTAATATAACCCGATTCTGCTCGTAATGATGATTCGAGACTTACATTCGGTCATTCCTACTTCATTACGTTTTCGTGCCTGACATGCCTAGCGGAAGATTGTTTCGAAGCTCTGAACATGTTATATTATATCTAGTTCTATCGAAGAGCCAGAGGGGTTTCAAAAAAGGTTCCACGTATGGAGGGAGGACTAAGACGGGACACGATTCGAGAAGACTGCTTGAAGAATGGGAAAGGGAAACCCGAAGGATCTGCTGAGAAATCGCCCCTGAAACAGGGTATCATGCCTATATGTGCATATAGGACACGAGAAAATCAATGAATACCATTACCATTTCCATTAATGAGTCGAGCTGTCCGATAGGCATCTCGCTGATATCGTTCATTCCATGCATCAAGAGTTTTTTTCTATAATCTTCGCCCAACTCCTAATTGAACGGCAAAGATAGTTAGGAAATCCTTACTGTTCCATGAAAGACTCTTGAGAGGATCTTTGGTCCACATCCTCAAGCTCGCTCCTTCATCATGATCCCAATAAGCGATCATATGCCGGGACCAGCAGCTCGATCCATCAAACCATGATTGCCGTAATGGCGAAGCGTGAACTAATGAATTTTCGACCACAAGCGTCCTGGATCACGTCGAAAGAGGAACCTTGGCTCGACGAGCAAGAGTCATAGGGCGATCTGGACTTCACGGTAGCATACCGTCGCGGGCAAACACATCGAGTGGTGACGATATAGCGACGTTTGAAGCCCCCAGGAAGCGTTCCGTCCGAGAGAGGAATCCGTGGTGTTTTGACAAGCTACTGCGTCCGAGAGGTCGTGAAGAGCCGGATGATGGGGCATGCCCTCGCCGATTTCAACCATTTTGCCATCTGTGTAGTTCATAGACTAGGGATGGATAAAATGTCTACAAATATGTTGTTATCCCCATTTGATTCACGAGGAACCGGAGAGTGTCGTGAAAAGAGTCGCGCTATTCCGGTCAGGGACTTCTGGATGGACCTGGACAGAGGCGCGGCGACCGCAGGATCTCCCCTGGCGTGAGGGCGAGGTCGGACCTTCGGATGGAGCTGAGATGCGAAATTGCGATCAGCTCTTATAATTCAGCATCACGCACGCAAAACCTCGGGGTGGCCGGAGCCCCTGGGGAGACTCCAGGAGCGCCTGTGCGAGCGTTATCTGCTTCCATGAAGGTATCATATTGCGTAGGTGTGGAGACCGAAGCGAAAAATCCGGCTTCGCTTCCTAGCGTGGATCATCGGGAGCTCCGATTCCGAGCTGGCTGCAAAGCGAGGTCTGGTCCCAATTCCTCAGTATGACTCAAGCGGCCTAGCAGATTGCTCCGACTCCCATTCTAGCCAGGGATGGAAGCGCTCGGAAGCAAATTTTCTCGGGGGCAACTTCTACCCGCGAATGCAGCGTGGATACGCAGACCGACGACCACCGACGGGTGGGGAAGTGGCGACGTCGGCTAACAAAAGACGAGAGAAAAGTTATACAGACGACTATATCCAGCTTGGGAGACTTCAGACCAAATTTCGAACTCGCAGAAACAAATTACGAGACGAGATGATGGAGACGAAGCCAAGGAGGGTGTCGTTCTGGGTTCCCGAGTTTGAACGGATCATATTGGTCTCGAAGACATAGGAGGAAGGTTCGTCGAATCTCTGGTGGCCGAAATGCGAGGAATCAAGATATTCATGGAGAGCGGCTCGACGATGGAAACTCCCTCCACTGAATTCTGTCCTCTGGAACAAGAAGTCGGGGAGCAGTTCCAGCTGTAGAGCAAGCTGGAGCAAATCATATCTTTACAATGAGCCTCGCTATAGACTTTGAATGATCGGACGAGCCGGAAAATAAAACATTCCCCCACAGGGATCACTCTAGAGACCTTCTATTCGCCGTTCCCGAGCTCGCACTCGGGTATGTCAGGATCGGGCGGCCTTGCGCTACGTATACAGCCGAGCGAGTGAATCGAACATGCGTTCTCCTTCTGTGATTATTCTCCGGTCCGGATCGACGACTATTGCGCCGAAACTGCCGCTGCAACCTCATCAAAGCTGACAGAGCCAATCACACACGCGTTGACCTATCGGATTACCAGTACAAGTAATAGTGGATTCTCATCATCATAGCGGCAGCGGTGGCGGCGGCGGTAGCTCTAATCTGCTGATCTCAATCATCTCCGCTTTCGGTTGACCTCACCAGCTGCTCCCGGTCGCATATGCACGTCGTACGCTTGGTCTATTACGAAGCTTGTGCTCCCAATAAGCAGCGAGATCGGGAAGAGAGATCGCTTTTTCCCAGGAGTATAGCCGTGTCTGGTCGTGGAACACAACATCGGAGCCATTTTTCTCCCAATCACGGCGGCTTGGATTTCTTCTTCTCGTCGAGAAGGTGGTCACCGAAAGCTCCGAGTGCCTTCTGATTTCCAGAAAAGGAACATGAACGACCTCTCGCACTTGAGACTCGGAGCAGAGACATCGGGGAGCCGTCTTCCCGATGAGTGGAGACGTATCGGAATCCAAGTCCGGGCTGTCAAGATATTACGCTCTCCTAAGGAGCTAATTTTTGTTCCTGTCTCAGCGCCGACTTGCCAACAAGCTCCTCTTAACACCTAACGATCCTGGAAATGCGTACCGGCAACCATATCCCCTTCTCGCTCTCTCCTGTAACTTAATATATAATTTGTTTCGTTCAGCCACGAGCCCCCACACAGGTCCCGTTCTGTGCGGAGCGCGGTCCTTCGCGAGTTTTTCGATGAATCGGTGATCTGGTGCTTCTAACTTCGGAGTTGTCCGCGAATCG